ATTTTATTGTTTTTTTTTTAAAAAAATATACATCGTTTTCCGTTGTGTTTGTTTTGTTTTGCTCGAGGATGAGCAAAAGTTAAGCTTGGGGGTGTTTGATGAGTGACATTTATGTTACCCTTAGGGGTAGTGTATTGGTCTCTTTTCTCCTGTTTTTCTTAGGGTTTCTACCTCTTTTCTCCTCTTATGGCTTCCTTTTCTTTTATGGATGAAAAGTATGCTTATTTGCGCTTGTTTTGATAATCTTTATGCATAATTTTATCATCCCCATGCTCTCGTGATCTTTGCTATCTTTTGCAGGTTCCATGACGGTCCTAAGCACGGTAGGAGGCCCCTTGGCCAAGTATGGAGGCATGGGCAAAGACTAGAGGAGCAAAAGGGAAGAAGAGGAAGCAAGAAGAGGAAGTTCAAGAGGAGGTGTGGCCGAACCTTTAAGAGGTTCGGTCGAACCATGGTGTGGTCAAACTTTTGAAAAGTTCGACCGTACCTCCAAGGCAGTTTCAACCAAGTTTTCAGCATGTTTACAGGAGGGGTCGAACCAGGAAAGTTCGACCAAACAAGGATCAGGGAGGTTCGACCGAACCTACCCTGAGTTCGGCCGAACCTACCCTGAGTCCGACCGAACCTACACAGAGTTCGGTCGGACCTTTTCCCGTTTCAGCTGACTTTTTGCGGAGCTTCCTAAGCAATTTTGTAAGGGGTATAAATAGATTTTTTTTGCTCATTAAAAAAAAAGATTTTTCAGTTTTAGAATAGTTTTTAGGTTAGTTTTAGGTTTTAGAGAGAGAAACTCTCAAAATTTTAGAGAGAGAAAGTGAGGAGCACAATGGTTTTCATGGATTTTGGATAATCAAATGAGGAATTTGAAGATCTCCACCTTATATCAATGAGCATTTCTTACTTTCTTTTCTCTTATTGCTTTATTTAGTTGCTTTCATTATGCTTGAGTAGTTTCCCTTCTACTAGGTGTTGAGTGAGACTTTGTAATGATTGTTTGAGTTATTTGAGATAAATTTGATGATAATTGTGTGATTAAATTGATTGAATTGATGTTGGCATGTTGTTTGTTTTAGATTGGATTGATCTCCCATGATAGCACACTTAATTGAATATTGGTTTTAGTTTGACAAGGGATTGTGAATTAGAATTGATATATTTGATTGCATTTTGGGTAATTTTCTTCTATGCACCTAGTCAATGAGGGATCTAGGCTAGGAATTTGAGAGATTACTTTTGAGTTTAGTTAATTCTCATTATAATTCTTTCTTTGCATGATTGATTATCAAATGGATTCTCATTAGCTTATTAATTGTTCTAAGTGGATCTTTTCCCCTAGTAGACTTTATCATACCTTGTTCTTTATATGTGTTTTAGTGTAGTTGTAGTGTCCACTATCCATAAACCGATTTCGGCGTAGCTTAAGCATTAGATCGAGAACAATCCAACATTACCGTTCCTTGTGGTTCGACTCCGAACTTACCACTAGACTTGTTTAGGGGTTAGTTTTAGGATTTACAAATTTATTTGATTGAGTGTGGAATGTGCGACCGTTCTAACGCCCGTCAGTTATACATGATATTCGTTCGGCTATGGCAAGGTTCTTTTGGGGTAACTCGACTTCTAAACGAAAAATTCATTAGAAGTCATGTGATGTGATGTGTACTCCTAAATGTTTTGGAGGTATAGGTATTAAGGACTTGAAAGTATTCAATGTGGCCCTTCTTGGAAACAAGTGTGGAGGCTTGCTTCTAGAGAAGACTCACTTCTAGGGAAGGTCATGAAGGCGAAATACTATCCGCTACATTTCTTGACTCCTATCTTGGTGTGTCGGGTAGCTATTCATGGCAAAGCATTTGGAGTGCAAAGGCTCTTGTAAAGGAGGGAATTATTTGGAAAATTGGGTGTGGAGCAAATGTGAATATTTGGAAAGACCCTTGGGTAGCCGATGAAAATGGGTGGTTTATCACAACCCCGAAAGCTGGGGATTTGTGTACTGTGAGTGACCTTGTGGATTTTTCAAGGATGGATTGGAATTATGAGCTTATATCTGCCAAGTTTAATGACCGAGATAGGAAATGCATCTTAGCTATACTGTTAAGCATGAGGGCTCTGAAAGATAAAATCACGTGGGCTTTTTCTAAGGATGGAGAATACTCGACAAAGACTTCATATATGCTAGGAAAGGGTTGTGATTTTGACTCGTTTCACCGAGCTTGGGTGGAGCTATGGAGCTTAGAGGCCTCCCCGAAAGTAAGACACTTTTTATGGAGAATGTGCACGAATACTCTACCAACTAAGTTGCTGCTACACACTCGACACTTGCTTGACTCTGCAGCGCGTCCGTGGTGTGAGGTTGGTGAGGAAAATGCTACTCATGCGATTTTCCTTTCAATCGTGTATGGGATTTATGGGATGAATGTGGTTGTGCTACAGCTAGGCCACAAGAAGGGAAGAGCGTGTGTGATTTGCTGCTGAGATGGGGAACGCTAGGAGCAAGAGTAAATCAAAGAGCAGCATATCTTGTTTGGGTACTCTCGAAAAGAATAATAAGGTTCACTTGTGACACCTAATGATATTCTAGTTGCACGAGTTTGTCGTCTAGCAAATAAATTTGGCACTTATAGCAAGAGGGTATACCGACAGCGTCGATCTAGCACAAAGAAGTGGGTTGCTCCTCCTACAGGTGTGGTTAAGGTGAACTCGGATGCGTCTTTGTGTGATGACTGATGGGTGGGTGGGAATGGGGGTGGTAGCTCGAGATCATGAAGGGAAGGTGTTATTCTCAGCAACAAGAAGAGTGAAATTAAAGCTTGGTGGCCACCTAAGATAGCAGAAGGGAAGGCTCTTCTACTGGCTATTAAGCTCGCACAAAGGTTTGGCTACAAAGAGGACATCCTTGAATCAGATTGTCAAGTGCTTGTGAATCGACTTTCAAAGGCAGCTGTGTTTTTTACTGATTTTGATGGTGTATTATTGGAAGACATTCTGTCTGTTAGTTGTGTTTTTACATCGTTTTCTTGGTCCCATGTAAAAAGGGATGGGAATAGTGTTGCCCATTACCTTGCTAAGCTAATGCCTTTTGGTGTTGAACAAGTTTGGATCAACCATTGCCCTGAAATGGTTGCTCCTTATGTACTCTCGTACACTTTGTCCGTTGATTAATAAAATGCATTAGCTTGCTTGCCCTAAAAAAATAAAAATTTATGTATCAAATATTAAGTTCAATTGTTCTAAATTCCCTATTAATGTTAAGCTAATACGAGTAATAAGGATACTCACCAAAATTAATAGCATTGAAAGAAAGGATAACTAAATTATATAGCAGCAAAATCTACTAATTAAAATATCATATCATTGATAGTATAATAAAAAGAATCATAATATTATGATAATAATATAGTGTAATCTTGTTTTAAGAAATATACTCATAGTATATTATCTTGTTAATATAATATTGTTAATTATGGAAACCAACAAATCTTTAGCAAGTATGGGGTATGGACGTATATGGTAGTCCGAGTAAGAATATACTCCGTAAATTTATCTGTTAATCTATTGACAAGATTATATCTGATCTTTTGATTAGATAAACATTGGTCGAGAGCTAGACTTAATATTAGCCATGCATAATTAGTTATATATTGCCCCCTTAATTAAGGATCTCGTTTCTTATTGTTTATCCAATTTGATATTATCTTCAAGCAATAATATCGTCAATATGCAACCAAAAGATCGTCAAGGTTTTTCTATCTTTAAATGAAACAAACCATATGAAACAATAAAATTAGCAAATACACCTTGCTTAACAATTCCATTGCAAATGCCTCTAGATTAGGGTGAAAGTACATTTAATCATTCAAAAACTAACAAACAATCCGTACTCAACTAAGACAAATAATAAGTTCCACATTCAATTACGATTTACCAATGCAATGAACACAATAAATATTAGCAGAGGTAATGTAAATCAACTAGCACTTTAGTGACAAATAAATAAAGTCACATGGAAGTATTTCTCTTCAATACTCACAAAGATTAGTCAAACCAACTTACTTTATCTAGTTAATCTTAGATACTAACTTAACCCATCACATAGACAACAAGATAAAAATAATATTATTCATAATCAGGGGCACATATGAATATAAGTTTGACTTTATGAATTTTAAAGCTGAGAAGAAACTTCCCTGATTTCAAGATGGTCTTGTCACACGACTCACTCTTTTGATATTTTGTTGTAGCCTGCATAGCCGAATTACAACTTCTCGATCTCAATTAGTGTGTAATCTCTGAGCCTACAACATAACAATATAGCAAATTAAAAATGAAAGGTCTTTGCTGGTTCATCTTGCTGGAGAAAAGGACACGAAACCTCACCGCACTATTTCGAAAAAATATACTAGCTTTAAAGTATAATATCCACATGAATAATTCAGTTGTAATGCCATTAAAACTTTAATAATTAAATACATAATCCAATTTAATAGCATTATAACCAAACGTGGCATGAAAGGTTGGAGCCCAACTCCTAGATCAAAAATTGATCATAATGTTACGAAAACATAAACCCAAGAAGCGGACATTAAGGAATTTAAATTCCCTTCAATTGTTGTGCCGACTTTCTCACACAAAACATCCTTGATGAAACGTTTAATGCAAAGGTTTATCAAATTTAATCTCTAGCATGCGTAAAGAGCTTTGGTGCTAATAACGTGTTAGAAAAAGAGAACTGAGGGTGAATAGAGATGTGTATATTATTCTATAAAATAGGGGATATATATATACAATAGCTAGGGTTCTTTTAGAGAACACTAAACCCTAAACCTAGAATATTCCAAAAAGTACAGGACTTATGATTACACTTTTTTCTAATATAAAGAATATTGACAACCATTTTAAACAAATAATAGCTATTTAATACTAAATTAGTGTTTTTTTTAAAGAAAATGATAAAGTATATGTTTGACAATTATATCTTACAAAAAAAAAATAAAAAAAAATGAATAAACCACATTTTGTATTTCATTTAACCATTAACTTGTTTCCATAACGCAATATATAAAACTACAATCTCTCTATCAAGAGAGATTGTTATATACATCCTGGTGCATGTTACACCCAAGGGTATTTGTTTGCTCATTTGATAATAAAATGAGCATCATTATTGAAATGAGCAGACAATACCCTTGGATGCACCGTACACGCACCCGAGTGTATATAACAATTTCTACTCTATCAATAACAAAAAAAAAAAAAAAAAAAAAAAGTGATTGAGAATGTACATTAAAATAAATCTTAAGTAGACACCTAAATCACGTAATTGTTTCAAGCTAGGTTACACTTGAACAACAATAATGGGTTATCAATGAAAAAATATAGTTCACGGAAAATCTGGTCGTTCCCAATTCATCCATCCTTATTCCTTTGCCGGAATAGTACGTCTTGCCGCTTTGTCGGAGTGTTATTCAAATTGTACAGTACGTATCCTCCCTTCTAGACAAAGTGGTTCGGCGAAGGGCTAGTCCTTTTGGGCATTGAGGGTGACATCTCGGCGCTAGAACCGGAGGTATGCCCATACTCGTTCGTTGCTCCATACTCACTACTTGGATAATCTGTACTGTTAAGTGCTGTCCTTCTAAACTTCTTCATGTCGTTGTTGTATGAAACGGTATCATAGTCTGAGCTACCGCCGCTGGAGCCAACTAATGTGCTACCATTTCTAACCTTTGCTCCTTCGTTCAAGTCATCCAATGATACATCACCTTCTAATGCTCTTACAATCTGTTATTCATGTAACAATTTTCACATGTTATTTTTTGACTTCATAATATGATTAATATCTTTATTCCTTAAAGACCATAAGAAATCAATCATATTTAGTTATAATTTAAAGCATTATATTATTGAAATTAGTGTACGTAAGTACTAAAGTTGCTCCAACCAATTTAAGTTATTTGTGTTTTCATTTTTTTATTTTTTTTATTTTTTATACCAAGTATGTTTGAGATTAAGAAGTTAGTACGTAATCGAAAATTGTCATTAGTTACATTTACCTCGATTGTCATTCGCTATTTATATAATGAAATAGTTAGTGCATAATTAAATGCATAATGCAAAGATTAGTAAGAGTACATAAGAGTATGTTCACCTGGCTCATTTTTGGCCTCCTTTTACCAGAATGTCTTATGGATGCACCTGCACATGCGATCAAACGCATCATCTCTTCGGAATCAAATTCACCCTCTAAACGTGGATCGACGAGTCCACTGAAATTTCCTTCATCCATTGCTCGTGCAATAAGTGGTCTAGTCTGTTTATGTGTAACACGTACATTAGATATTTGCCCCCCCCAAAAAAAAAAAAAAAAAAAAAAAACTGTAAGTAGTTATTATTCATATGATGTTTAAAGTACTAAAAATAAATAAATCATGTTTTAAACCTATGTATCTAGTCAACAACGAGTAAATAGATAGTAACAAGTTATTTGCAAGGTTAATGAAACTGAGATTTAGCTATATATGATCGATTTTATGTAATGAATTGAACATTTGAACCAATGAAAATGAGAAACGATTATGTAAATAAAATGACTAACCCAATCTACTAAGCTATCCTCTTCTTCAGATGAAGGATCGATAGGGCGACGACCCGTGATTAGCTCCAATAGCATGACACCGAATGAGAAAACATCAGATTTCTCAGTCAATTTTCCACTTGATGCATATTCTGGTGCCAAGTACCTGGGTTTCAAGAGATTATAAATTAAAATAGGTTTTGATCCACTTTCTTATGTGACCAACATTAATATTAATGAAAACTTCCATATTGTACTCGGGTACACCTAAAGCTATATAATTAAGCGTATTTATTACTCAAGTAACCATATTATGCTATTTTATTTGGAGAATTTTCAATGAGCAAAAAATGATCAAAGCCTATAAATGAAAACACCAAGATCGATCTATGTGTAAGGTTCACCCGAGTACTATACAAGGAAGATTATGTAACTAACAATGGATAAAATCGAGCTTATAGCAGCAACCAAGTGAAAGGATTGATGTTAAGATTCTTACCCAAATGTTCCCATGACACGCGTTGACACATGAGTGAATGTGTCCGATGAGAGCTTAGCTAAGCCAAAATCAGCCACCTGAAAGAAAATGATAGCTCCCTTAATCAGTTACAATGTCATGTTGCAACAAATTAGCAAATATTGTAATGTACGAAGTGCGTATATGAAGAATGTGCGACGTGCAAACCTTGGCCTCGAAGCAATTATCAATCAAAATGTTTGCGGTTTTAATGTCTCTATGTATAATTCGTGGGTGACCTATATGTACAAATGTATGGTTAACTATTACAATACTGAAATATATATATATATAATGCTATAAATGAAAGGAACATGTTAGTAATGGTTCATACAATCTTCATGAAGGTAAGCTAGGCCCTTAGCAGATCCAAGTGCAATTTTCATTCTCGTATTGAAATCCATGACTGGTCGACCTTTACCTACAAAAAAAAATGTATATGGGATCGAACATTATTAAGTAATACCCTTTGAGACAAACGTAGTTGTAATTGTATTCACTAAATCCGATCCAATAATAATATTCATGAGTGATATAGTGTACAAATATATAAGTATATAACTATAAGAAGTTAAGGCAAAATAACATGATCTATAGATCTTGAATATAATGTACAAATATTTAAGTTTATAATTGCTTTTAATATTCTTTTAAAGATGTAGATAAATGGCACATTATTTCAAAGAGACTGAAATAATAGATACGCGACCTATTAAATAGCATACCATGAAGATGAAACTCAAGGGTATTGTTAGGAACAAACTCATAAACAAGCATCCTTTGACCTCCTGCAATACAATAACCCACAAGGGATACAAGATGTCGATGATGCACCCTACTAATGATCTCAACTTCAGCTTGGAACTCTCTTTCGCCTTGGCCGCTCCCCGACTTAAGGCTCTTCACTGCTATCTCTTTGCCATTAGGTAGCAACCCTTTGTGGACATAACCAAACCCTCCTTGACCCAACAATCGTTCCTTCGAAAAGCCATTTGTTGCGGCTGCTAGCTCGTCGTATGTGAAGGTGCTTTTACTAAACCCAAGGGCTACTGATGGGTGAGGTGGTGGTAAGGCAGGACCTGTTGGCCCTGAGGAGTAGTTTGCACTACTCATATCAGCGCTCATCATAGGCGGGGGCGGCATCATCGCTTGGCCGCCGCCACCCCCCCATTGTGCCGAGGACATACCCGTTGGACCTGTAGCGTAGTTGTTTGAGTCTTGGTGTTGACCAGGGCTTGTATGCCAAGGTGCATGTTGGCTACTATATTGTTGTTGGCCGTTATATTGTTGGCCTAGTACATAATTAATGAAATTAACCATAAAGAGATTAATTAGTATTGTATTTAATTATGAAAACTAAAAATTAGAAAAACGAAAATATTTGACAAGGATAATTGATTAATTGCTAATGCATAAGATATTAGTACAACATTAGTAAATATATACACATTTGATTGTTGTTTTTGTAATATTAGTAAATATATACACATTATGTCTTTTATTCATGGCTTAAATTTAAATAAATGACAATCTTTATTCAAAAACAAAATGTCAATTGTTGGAATGATAGGACATAAGAAGATTAATAAGTTTCTTATTGTTAAGTTGAACTGCTTGTAAAAAAAAAAAAAAGTTGAACTGAATGTATAAAGCAACATTAATAATTAGTAACATTATTTTGTGGATTGGAAACTTTGAAAAAATAAGTTTAAATATTGTCTAAATAAGAAATAATAAGTGAAAAAGGTGCCAATGTTATTTGACATTAAGTACTATTATTTTAAAAAATTTAAAATATCCGTCGTATATAATTAAGACAATGATTATCATAGTATAAGAAAAGGAAAATAATGATCGATAATAATCAAAATTCATACCATTACTTGAAGGACCTCCATAATATTGCATGGTGTCATGACGACGCTTGTTTTTTCTCCTTTTAGAGCAAACAACCACTATGACTATCAATAGCAATAATGAAACCCCAAGGGTAACCACAAGTCCAACTATAAGAGTAACATTATTATTATTAGAAGATGTCGACGGTGGTGGAGACGAAGAATCATCACTTAGTGATGGAGGAGAATGCGAGGATGAAGACCGCGACCCTTTTGATGAACTTGGCGGTGGTGGTGATGGAGAGTTTGGGGACTTGTTTTTAGACGAGGAAGGAGGCGGCGGCGGCGGCGGCGGCGGCGAGTTGTTATTGTTATTGCCACTGGTTTTATTGTTGTTGTTATTGTCTGATGATTGAGGTGGTGGTGGTGGTGGTGGTGGTGGTGGTGATGGCGATGGCGATGGCGATGGCGGGGGTGACTTATTAGAAGATGAATCTGACGGTGGAGGAGGGGGTGAATTGTTGTTGTTATTGTTATCGGATGATGATGATGATGATGATGATGAAGAATCTGATGATGGAGGAGGGGAAGAATTGTTGTTACTATTATCTGATGATGACGATGAATTATTTGAATTTGGAGGAGATTCAGATGGAGATGATGAAGAATCACTACCTTTATCTGATGAACCCATTCTTTAAAATCTTCTTAGTAAAATTCACCGATTGATATATGATTTTCTAATGTTGCCGCTTCTCCAAACAAATAACCCCTAAATCCATAAAACAAGATTATTAATGACAAAATGTCACAATGAGCCATTAAATCACATAATAAGTGTTATAAATATTGGAAAGTCATCAGCTAACATTTTTTTTTAAAAAAAAAAAAAAAGAAAGATGCACATAGTTAGGAAAATCTTCTCTCAAAACTTATTTGAATGCGTATTTCATGGAAATTTACTAATAATTATCATCGAAAACGGGGAGTGGGGAAAGAGGAGGATATGGTAGAAGGCAACCTTATGAGGAGGAGAAGGGCATTTGATTCACAAAAGAAGAGGAAATAAAAAGAAAGGTCATGCTAATGAAAGATCTAACAAGAAAATGGGCAACGTCATTTCCTACTCCATCCACCTCCTACATAATAGGAACCATTGGTTGGCCTCCTTTCTCTATTTTTGTTTAATTCAATTCATTTTCAAGGACTAAACTATATTTGAGGTATTAATTATCTACAATGTGTTGCTATTTAATAGGATTGATCACGCGCATATATATATATATATATATATATATATATATATATATATATATATATATATATAATTGGGATCATGTGAGAACCCCTCCCTTATGTGAGACCAGTTTCTTATGTGAGAACAAATCTAGATCACTGATTACATTTCATTTGAAGGTTGAGATTAATTGACGAGTAATGGCATTTTCGTAATATTATGCAACATATACCCTCAATCTTATTATTCATGTCATTTGCTTTATCTCCCCCAAAACATTCAACAACCTTTCATATACCCATCTCTCTCTCTCTCCTCCATTGAAGCAGATTCTTAAGACTTGTTTCCTCCATTGAAGCGAAATCTGAGCTTTCTCTGTCCCATTGAAGCGACCTCTAAGCTTATTCTCCTCCATTAAAGCGATTTTTAAGGTAATCATCACATAATACAAAAAATAAAAATAAAAAAATTCCAATTGAAAATGTCAAGATTTATTGAAATTCATAAATTATAACTTACTGGATTGTCGATTAGGAAGTTAATGTTGTTGATTCCGTTTGTTATTTGTGTTGTTTACTAACATCCCCTTGTTTTCTTTAGATTTCAAGATATTTTTCTCTGTTTTTTTTTAAATCACGAATTTCAATTTCACTAGTTTATCGTTAAATGCTTTTGTTAATTTAGGGTTCTTTATAGTGTAATTCGAACTTTTATTTATAATTTCTGAGGTTATGAATGGTTATAGAGATCGATTTTGTCAATTTTAGTACTTGCATTTCACTAATTTGTGCTTAAATTTTGATGCACACTAAGTGTTTGACAATATTCCCCATGAATCCTATTATTTTATCAATTTCAAATGTAGTACATATTTAATTGATGATCTTCTTATTTCATATTCCCCAAGATTGTTTTCTGTCTATGAATAAGTTATATTCTCACTTGATTCCTAATCAGGATGTTATCATTCAAAAGCATACACTCAAGCATATAATTTTCTCTTCTGACTTTTGAGTTCACCCGGATGATATTTTAGGCTAATACTTATTCATACTGCTGCTAAACTTGTGAACTTTGTTTGGTGGCAGAATGTTTTTAGGAAGTGTGAGCAAGTGTAATGTCATTGCTTACATGGATAAACCGCATTGAAGACTGATAATGAGCTGCTTCACACAACAAAGGAGATAGCTCGTCGACTGGAAGAAGTATGTGATCTGTTTCCTTATAATCTTGTCTATTTTATATACAGTATATATAATTAGATAAAGTAACAAACATTGCCATAAAATACTTGTTTGTTTGATGAAATTATCAGGCCTCTTGTAACTGAAGTTATAGGTAATTGCTCGGATATTCTAGACTTCTAGAGGCCCCCTCCCCCAATCAATTTGCTGGACTTATAATAACATATATGAATTGGATGGCTTTTCTTAAGTCTTGTTCTACTTGTCCCAACTGAATAATTGATTATATTAAATGGTTTTATACAATATCATTCATGCTACTATGACGTATTCTAATTGTATTACTGTTATGACGTACCTTCTAATTGGATGAACTAACGAGAAATGGGCAAATCACATTGTTTAAAACTGGAATTTTTGTCCAACCCTTATTCTCACATAATGTTCTTCTCAGTCAAATGTATGTATCAATGTAAGAAAGGTACAATGTGGAGGTGAGGGAGGGTCCTTGTCCTGAACACATAGTTGAAGACTACTAATCTAAATTTGGCTAAAAGTTTGCTAGTTTGTTTCCTTGATAGATGAACTATTTATGTGTGATTTTTAGGTTCAACTTAAAGAGTAGACATCTGACCACTTATGCTCTACATTTCTTAATCCTGGTGTATAGACCAAGTGGCTTCTGCTCCAGTTACTAATTACTTGCTTCAGTTTTATTAAAGTTGCAATTTAAGGGACAAGTGTCTATTTTGGTTTGTAAATTCAATTTCAGGTACCGTTGTTTTAGCAAAAGTAATGAATTAGTATATATGTCTTGTAACTGGCACTTTTAACCAGTGACTATCACTTTATGAAATATAAATGTCAATGAAAGAAGATCTTATTTAGCATTTTGAGCTTCAGGAAAAAAGTACTTCAAATCATGAAAATTTTATCAGATAAATGTGTGTGAATGATATTGTACTAATGTACTTCGCCTATCTCTCTCAACCTCTTATCATGTCAAATAAGCAATTAATTATTTGCTCCTTTGTCAAATGAGCAAACTATTTATTGCTCATTTGTCAAATGAGCAATTAATTTTTTGCTCATTTGTCAAATGAGCAATTAATTTTTTGCTCATTTGTCAAATGAGCAAAAAATTTCAAAGCTCCTTTGTCAAATGAGCAAACTATTTAATGCTCATTTTTCAAATTAATGCTCATTTGTGAGTGTGTTTGAATGTTTTAAATACGTTAGCCTACTAGCTCAAGGGTAGAGCACTGTGCAAATGCACAAAAGATGTGGGTTCGAATCCCACGTAGGTTCATTTATGTAATGTGGAGACACAAGTTTGTAGTGTGAGCAAAGATATGAGCAAATAAATGAGCAAACTATACTCAATTAGCATGTAGAGTAGTGTGAAAATGCAGAGTTTGAAAATTTTGAGTAGTTAATGAAATTTATTTCTTTTAGCTATTGGGAAAACAATACAAAGACACCCACTGCTGTCTCTATAAACATCTTGAACTGCAATCTTCATTGTTATTTCCTGTTCCTTTCCCACATGAGTGCTGCGATCAATTATTACACCAATGCTAACTGCGACATTCTTGTGTACTAAGCAGTTGTAGCTTGGCATCAGAAGCAGAAGTACTGCAAGTGTGTATACAACAGGAAGCATGATTAACTTATAACTTACAAAAGTTTGAAGTTAAGCTGGAAAAGGAACACCTATTATTTGATCAAGAGGAAGTTGCCTAGGCTAATTCGTGCTAAAAATTTCGGACATTGCATAAATCATATTACAATTATAAGACATGTATAAGAATTGAACAATGATATAGTTGAGCAAAAAAGGAGAGATGATCAAGTTTTTTTTGAAGGTTTTTTTTATATAGTTATTTATAAATACAACCTATGTAGGATTCGAACCTACATCATCTATGCATTTGCACAATGCTATACCACTTGAGCTAATAGGTTTTTGATATAGATCAACGCCCTCCCATAGAAGCAGAGGAAAACAATAAAATGTAGAAACTAAAATGCGTCCATTATTACTACAACAACCACCATAGCTCACAAATTACCCAACACATGCTCACCCAACACAACTACTACTAGGAAGTATTATCAAGTAAATTAGTAACAAGTGAATATGCACCCCCTTAAACACACTTACACACACACTCTCAATAATTAGAACTGAAATCAGATTCTTAAATAAGAATGTACACGGCCAGGAGCAAACACACACACTTACACATACACTCTTACACTCACACACACACACACACACACAGACACACACACACACACACAATAATTTCATAATCTAAAATTAAAACTGAAATCAGTTTCTGAAACAGAACTGCAAGCAAAAAGATGAGGGGGCAGGGGGGATATGTTTGTGGAGGGAAGTGGAAGAAAGGAGTGTGGTTGGTGTGCAGGAAACAGACCAAGAAGAAGGGTGTGGGGCTTGTGCATAGGCAAGCAGACCAAGGAACTCAATGCTCATTTGTGAAATAAGCAAACAATTCTTTGATCTTTTGTCAAATGAGCAAATAATTGAATGTTCATTTGTCAAACGAGCAAATAACTCAATGCTCATTTGTCAAATGAGCAAATAACTCAATGCTCATTTGTGAAATTAACAACTAAGTATTTTCTCATTTGACAAATAAGAAACTAACTTATTATCGTTGCTCATCACATATTATCAAAACAAGCAGCTAAAGAAACTTATACATCACATATTATCAAACCAACTTCTGTTTTTAGCACTCATTTTACATGGCAAACATCTAGTTCTACCAACTACATTCTCCTTAAGCCAAGTAATCATTTGATTAGCATTAATAGTCCCTTGTTCAATTCCATGTGATAGCATTCCTCAAACGACAAATAATTACCAAGCATTTTCTAACAAGCATTTTATCAAACACCTTGTATGCACTATCAGGATATTCAAAACAAACTCATTGATAATTACCAATTGTTCAGTTAGTTGATCAATCTCTACCCTGGCAATGAAATCACCCTTAGGCCAAACCAAGTCTTCGACACCATACTTCTTCCTCCTGCGGACCTGCAAGTCCAGCTCGTCCGCAACCTCCTCGATGGTGTCAAGGATCTTGTCTACAGGCAAAATTGAAAATTCTATTGAAATTTTTTACGAAAATCCTAAATTGAGAACACTCAAAGTAAAAAAATCGAGCAAAAATTATAATGTCAAACTCGGATAACCAAAATTAAGACATTCATATTCAAAAATTTCCAGAATACTAAAATCGAAATTAAAAAATGTGAAACCCAAATTTTTGTAATCAAAATCGCACAATCTTGATTTAATATTCAAATTAAATCATAGACAACAACGAAAATCAAAATCAAATTAACTTACAGTGCCTTAATAATTGATGCAATTCGAAATTTTCAGAGCAGTAAAATCGAAATTGAAAAGTTGAACAAACCTTGATAATTATCGAGCCTTCATATTCTTTAATCGAAGTTATTCGTACTTGTGAAGAAGAAGATGAAATCAAAATTGTCAAGCCTTCAAATGAATTAATCAGTCGCCATTGATGAAGCTTTGTGGTGGAGAGAAGTCTGTTAACTGGGTAGAGAGAGAAGACAGTTAAGTGGTTTGTAGGAGGTTTATGTGATTAATCACAGCCGTTCGATTTAATACAATTTAATGGTTGAGATTTGTTCTCACATATGGGATGAGTTCTCACATAGAAGATGGTTCTCACCGGATCTCGACCCTATATATATATATATATGTTTTTATTCATTTCATAGGCACTTTGTTAGGACTTTATATAAGATTCTTTCAAAAACAAAAAGTTGCTTCATATAAGATATTTGTTCACTTTTTTTAATTACAAATTTACAAAGCTAAGCTACTAGCTAAGGTTCTACATCGGGCACCGGATCGCATCAAAAGATAAGAATTAAATTACCTATTTTGACGGATCAGGAATTAGATTGAAATTTTTTAGCTCAGACTAAAAATTTCAATTAATTAAGGTTCAATTTTGGACCGAATTTTGTGATTTTAAATCATCTAAAAAAGTAAATATAGCAACCTTTTTTTTTTTCTTTCCACAAAATAGTTAGTAACGCTCCATATATCCTAATCTTAATACACGTCAATTTTAAAGATAAAACAATTATAACAATTCCACAATTAGTATTTTTACTAATTAAAATGTACAAACATAACCCTTCATTAATTTATTTTTTAAAAGGTAAATTGGCCACCAATCCAGTTAGGGAAAAAAAAAACAAAATAAGGTTTTTTCAAGATAAAACCCTCCGTTTAATTTCTATATTATATTCGGTATCAACCCAAAATGGATCTTATACTCCCCTAGCTAATACTCTATATATATATATATATACAACATAGGATGGAACGATTGACTCAACCTTTGAGATGATTTTTATAGGGTAGGAAAAAATCGTATTCCTTAGTACTCCTATATAAAGATGACCCTTCACTAATTTATTTTCTAAAAGAAAAATGGGTCACCAATGTGGTTAGAAAAAATCGAAATTAAGGTTTTTCGGATAAAAAACCCTCGGCTCAATTTGTCCATTTTATTCGGTATCAACTTGAACTGGATTGTAGACTATACCCTAGCAAATACGTTGTATATATGCAACGTAGGATGAAACAATTTGATTCAACCTTTGAGATAAATTTATAGGTAAGGAAAAATCGAATTTCCTATAAAGTACATACTTATTTAAATGAATCTAACTCTATTTTTTACAAATTATGTGCAATACAAGGAACGGAGAGAGTACAATATTCGATAAACACGAACTTTCAAAAAAAAAAAAAAAAAAAAGTGTTGCAACCATAATGAACCGGATTAGGAAACAAACTCGAAATCCTAGTAAGCCACGATGCATGATGGCATAAAAAATTCAGAAAAGTCCCAACACTTTATAAACGATGAGTATCACAATCTCATGATTCACTTTACTTTTTATACTCCCAGAAAGGTCCTACTTCTTCATTGATTACCCACCTCCTCCTTCTCTCTCTCTTCTTCGCTATTCTTCACTTTCTCTCTCCTCTAGATCGCCGATTTTCAGAATTTCAAGATGCCGTCGCGAAGGAGAACTCTGTTGAAGGTCATCATTCTCGGTGATAGCGGGTCAGCACTTCATCTCTTGTTTTTACTCGCGATCTCTGCAATTTTTTAGGTTTTTAATTTCGTGTAAATCATTCAATTCACTGTATTGTTTTTGCTATATTTTTAGGTTTGAACTTGATTTGATCTTCAATTGTTGTTTTCCTTCTGATTCTATGTGTAATTATCGTGAATTATATGCAATTTTGTTGTATTGTAACTGAATTTTGATAATAAATTGCTAATTTAGGTTTTAATTTTTGCATTTTTGCTGTTTTATTTATTTATTTATACTGGATTATTTTAGCTATAGTATGTCAATTGTTTGATATTATTAGCAAATTGATAGATGCTGGAAATTGCACCTGAAACATCATGTAACAGTAGGATTCAGTGAACTTGGAGAATACACTTAATCAAGTTGATTGATGCGGTGAATTGATTGATTTTAGGTGAAAGACAGAAATTTAGAGAAGTAGGTTTGAACTTGATTTGATCTTCAATTATTGTTTTCCTTCTAGTTTTATGTGTAATTGTCATGAAATCGTTAATTTTTTTTAATTCTATTGTTTTTTAACTGAATTTTGATAGTAGATTGTTAATTTAGGTTTAAATTTTTGCAGTTATGCTGTTGTTTAATTTAGTACAGGATAATTTTAGCTACAACATGTCAATTATTTAATATTCTTTGCAATTTTTTTAATGCTGGAAATTGCACCTGAAACAACATATAACAGTAGGATCAGTAATTCAGTGAAGTTAGAAATTACATATAATCAAGTCGATTAATGTGGTGAATTGACTGATTTTAGGTTTAAATAAAGCTTAGGAAATTCTGATTGATATGAGTAGCAAAATATTTTTTCTTTGAAAAATTATCTAAGTTTACCTCTGATAACTGCAAAGTCGTTATAAGCTTTACCACATGGTTGTATGAGTTTCTGATTAAAAATTGAATTTTGTTCATATGAGTAGCAAATGTGTTTACTATTAATATGCTCTCTTTTTCCGTTAGTTGCCTTCTTCATGTTCTCATATGTCTTATTGTACATTTGCAGAGTGGGGAAGACCTCTTTGATGAATCAGTATCCTTGTGTTGTGACATACTTATACAGTAAATAAGGAATTATCGTTTTCTGTTTTGTGTAGTGGATAGGAAGTTCTATTAATTATATAGGCGTTTGTGCTAGGTACATTATCTCCTCTAGTGTTGTTGCCTTTAACCCATGTGATTAGATATGTAAATAAGAAATTCAGCAACCAATACAAGGCCACTATCGGTGCAGATTTTTTGACCAAGGAAGTTCAGTTTGATGACCGGCTTTTCACTTTACAGGTCCGTACTCTAAATTGTACTTTAACCGATTTCCATTTTTGCTCATTTATGATGTTTACAATAGCCATGTGTCTTGTATTGGTCTAGCTGCTAAAATCCTTTGGCAGCTTTTAAAGGTGGCTTTTTAATTCCGTCCTCTTTGGGGATAGATTCTTTCCGAATTCTTCTCTTTCTTCTTTGCTATATGATCTTGTAAGTTGGGCTATTAGAGGACTATTGTTTATCAAAATGCTGTTTTGGAAGAGTATTTGAGCTGTCTGCCTGTGCTTCATACGGATTGTGGAATTCAGCATGTTTAGTGGTTGGGACTTTGGGGATTGCTAATTTTGTATCCATTTTAAAGCTGACAAATATATGACTTACAGTCTTGCATACTGCATATATATGCTGCGATTGCCATCTTTGAAGGATGAATAAAAAATTGTATACCATCTGTCTCATATAGCTGAAACTAGAGAGTAATCTTAGATTCGACGCGGGGTAAATATAACCGAGATGCTGCCAGTTACAGTTGCTTGTATTGACGGGAAATAGGAATGATCTTACTTGCAAAGTGGGGTAAAAATGAACTTAAGATGCAAACCTTAATCTGGGTAGATTATATTTAATTCTTCACATTCTATGGCCACTATAATCTTTTGCTTTTGGTCATGATAGGAATTCTCAGTGTGGATGTGGTAGTTGGCAACTGTGATGTCAGTTGAATGTAGTATCACCTTTCAGCAGTCAGGACTGGCAGATAAAGCTGAAGGCATTTCACTTTTGTTTGTTTGTGCCAAACTTACGGCTATTATAGTATTATGCAAATAGTTACTTTACTTCTATGAATTTGAGGATGTGATCTAAGCTTTTGTCATCAACAATTTGTATCCTCATTTTGATTCCAATCTATGCTTGAAGAGCATATCTCCAAACTTGGTTGATCACTCATTTTTGCAGATATGGGATACAGCTGGACAGGAAAGATTCCAGAGTCTAGGCGTTGCTTTCTATCGTGGTGCAGATTGTTGTGTTCTTGTGTATGATGTCAATTCTATGAAGTCATTTGACAATTTAAATAACTGGAGGGAAGAGTTCCTCATACAGGTACACCACCTCCTCCCTAGTCCCCCCCCCCCTCCCCCTCTCTCCCTCTCTCTTTTTATTTTTTGGTGATGCAATCTAGGGTCATGTGGAAGGAAAAGGATTTGTTTCCTTGGTGTTAATTAGCTCTGTAGAATCCTGTTCAGTTGCCTATGGTCCAATCACTTGAAGCTTCTTTGAACACTTTGTTACATAGGTTTATATATGATGGGCCAAGGTTATACAAAATTTAATGCAAGTCGACGGGAAATTTATTTAGTAGGATATCTCCTTAATATCAATTTATTAGAACTACTTGCAAATTACATTTAAAGAAGCATTGGCCCGTTAATCAAGTTTGAGGCCACTGGTACTAAAGGTCTTACATTCAAATCCTTCTAACATCATTTATGCGCTCTTTGTGTATGCATGATATAAAGATGTACGATAGGAATATGTCCTCTCTTATATCTTATTTCTTACCTTGTTTTTCCCCTTTTTTATTTCATGTAATGGTAGAGCTTATTTCAACATTTATCTTTTCTCTGTTTTCATGTTACAGGCTAGCCCCTCAGATCCAGAAAACTTCCCTTTTGTTGTCATAGGAAACAAAATTGATGTTGATGGTGGAAACAGTAGAGTGGTAAGTTCAAATTTAGCTAATTTTAATCATTGATATGTGATGGTGATCAATATGTTAGTCGCTGAATATACAGTGCTTCTATTAATTATGCCTAGCGAATAACGATTATCAATTGAATAATGACAGGTTCCTGAGAAAAAGGCTCGGGCTTGGTGTGCATCAAAGGGGAATATTCCTTACTTTGAGACCTCAGCAAAGGAGGGCTTAAATGTTGAAGAAGCTTTCCAATGCATAGCAAAAAATGCTTTGAAGAGCGGTGAAGAAGAAGAGATGTAAGTTAATTTGAATCTCTTGGGCATGAAATTATCATGGCTTCTAGTTGTGAGTGTTGGAATTAATCTGATTGTATGAGCCTCATTCTGTTTTTGTTTGTTGATGTCTGAAGTGGTAATTAAACTTAGATGCTCTTTATTAATTACTCAATTCGTACTAAATCTTAATTCCCTTGCTGATAACTCTTTGATCTCCTCATGTCTAACTAAATGCAAGAGTCTGCTGTGATACACTGATGTTGTGATATGGTGGATCTGATTAGGAGTAATATTTCTCAGCGTGTTATGGGTTTTTAATACTTCAATTTATTAATATGCTTATTATCTGTACAGTGTTGTCTGTGTAAGTTGTCTTCTTGTGTATTGGCTGTTTTTAAAATCTTCTATAGGTCTGTTGTAACCATTTTTCTCAGTTTTGCTGCATGTCTATGAGACTATGAGGTTATGATCATCAATGTGGTCAAATTTGCATTGGCTATTGAGCTAGTAGGAATCAGGTTTTATCATGGCATATTTAGCTGATTGTGTGATGTCCAGGATATCCATCAGTCCATGATACAACTGACTTGTATTTTAGCTCATTTGACTCCTTCGATTGAGCAGATGAACAAGGAAAATAGCCTTGGTTGTACGATGAAAGTTGCCATTTTACCCTAATTTAATTGTTTGTTTTTCATGTTTTAAATGCTGACACTCTTTATCTTTCTTATTGTTCTGTTTGTGCTGTTGATGGCTTCTGGAAGATATTTGCCGGATACAATTGATGTTGCTAATAGCAACCAGCAGAGGTCAACTGGATGCGAGTGTTAAAGACCTGTACTACAACCTCTCTCTCTCTCTCTCTCTCTCTCTCTCTCTCTCTCATTTTAATTATTTAGTAGCTGTGCAATAAGATTATTTGGAATCAAATGTAGTGTTTGTGAGTTGGTTTGGATTTTCTTATTTCACACTGAGTGAAAACAGTTATGTATATTACAATTATTTATTTGTTGGATATTACAATTATTTCATTGCTGGTTACTAAAAATGCTCAATTGTTTATATGCTGGACATAATTGCAAAGTGCAAACCACTTGAGAACTACCTGCCAGCAACGAGGACAGCAATTCTGTAAGTATTGTGAGACAATAACATCGCTCTTTTGATTTGAGTGTATTGTGTGTTGACTGTAAATTTGTCATCCATATTGCTTGTTAAACTACACGGGAGTAAAAATTGGATGAAGAGAGTAGTTTGTGAATTCAAATACGTAGTAAATCAAACATTACTAACAATTTACCATCAAACTACTTCACGATGAATGTACAATTTGTTGGCAATAAAATGTTCAAATTTCATGTGCAAGGATACTTTCTACAGTGCAAGAACAAAAATAGTTGGGCAAAGTATCATACACCCTTGGCCCTAGTATAATAACAATTCTGTTGGTGAAGGTAAGATACCATTTTGTTTTGGGCATCATATCATATCCCATTTTTCCATCCCAACAAGAAAATTGAAAACTATAAAATCTAACTGAGATACAGCTTCTCATCTTCAAGTAAAAAGTTAGAAATTATTTGATTCGGACAAAATTCTCAGCAAAAAACATAGCAAAAACCAATGTACATTGGTAATTATTTTGCTACAGACAACCTTTTCGACAGACAGTTCTTACACAACATACTCTCTTTTACTCAAAATTGGTTCATTTTGAACAAAACTCACGAGAATTGAATTGGCTCTGGTTGCAATGCCTTCTGTACGAGCCCTGTTTGTTCTTTCCCATGGACTGAGATGAAGCCAGTGGCAGTTGCAGCAGATGGAGGACGCCCAACATATTTAATGTCATCATCACTTCCTCTGTCAACAGATTTCATCGCAGTAGACAAACGGGGAGCAATGTAACTGTAAGCACCCATGTTCATTGGCTCTTCCTGGCACCAAACAACCTCGGCATCTGTAGATGTAGCAAATATTGTAAGCCAGGCCAAAATAAAAACTTGAATATCTTCATGACCAAGACCTTATTACATACATGCAAGATCTTTCTACAAAGTTAATACAATATGAATAGGGGACACAACTAGCACTACCTAGTACCTACTGGATATTTTTATCATGGAAGATGGGGAAATCAAGAAAATATATACAGCCAGACTTTGAAGTCATATGGCCAATGTGTGTTTCCAAATTCCATGATGAAAAAAATAGAAAACAGGATAAAGATGCAACGGATATTAAATATGAAATTAATTTAGAAACTTACTTGGATACCGCTTCAACTCTCGTTGAACAAGGTCATATGGGAAAGGGCAAAGCTGCTCTACTCTACAGATGGCAACATCACCGACATTTTCTTTTTTCCTATGCTCATCAAGCTCGTAGTAAACCTACACATTTTCAGAGTGAGAAACATAAAAATGTGAAAACAGCAAACACAACTAAACCAACCTCAGAAACATGCCAGAGTAGCAACACTAACACAAATTTTCTAAAATTAGCCAAACATGAAAAATATTTTTTTTTAAGGCACAAAACATGAAAAATGATAACTCAGCATAACTTCTAAATCCTACTTGGTATAATTTCAACAAATATTGTTTCCAAAAACTGGTAACAAGTGCATTAATAATCTTTGAAGGAAAACTGGCGAGAATAGAAAAGAATGATGTAATAAAAAAAAATATAATAAAAAAAACTCACTTTTCCAGAGCACAAGACCAAACGCCTAATGCCCTCCTCGTGATCTGAGTGCATATTTTGATCCTTTATGAGACGCTTGAATCTGGTTCCTTGTTTATCAAAACCAGCATGGCCCTTCACATCATCAAATTCAGAAAGATTTGATTTGCATTCTTTGTGACGAAGCAAGTTCTTCGGTGCCATGACAATCAAAGGCTTACGAAATTCCCTGTGTATCTGGAATGTGGCAAAAGTGAATTATGAGTAAATGCATGATCTGTTTTCACAATGTTTCAAAAATAAAAGCTGCTATTTGGTCTCACCTGGCGACGCAAAACATGGAAATAATTAGCAGGTGTTGTTACATTCACAATCTGCCAGTTGCATTCCTGAATCTGCTTCCGTTGTGTGGGTTCCATCTCAGGTATGACGTAGGGGTTGTCATCACTCATCTGTAAGGAGATTTCAAAGCAGACTTAGTTCTGTATGGCTGATTAGTTACCAAAAGTTTAAGTAGCAGAACCATAATCTTCCTGGGGCTACGAAGTGCCATTACATGCAAATATGCAATAGAGGACAGTTTGAATCTAATATAGATGTTTGATTCACACACAGATCATTTTAAAACTCTTGATTACATCACAAGTTTTGCTAAATTAACTTAGGGCTAATTTCAGCGGCCCACAAGTCCATACCTCAAAAATACATAAGAGCAACTTAGGCCAAGTTCAGGCTCAAATCAACCAATGAACAAGGAAGCACATTACAGAAAATTAGGGGAAGGGGAGATTGGGATAAAGATGTGTACTATGAAGCATTTACCACGTGCCTCCCCTAGGATACCTATTACCAGCAGCATCCAACATATCACCATGAAAAGGGGATAGGTGGAAGGGAAAGAGGGGTAAGGTCGTAAGGATTTCAACTTCACGCAAAAACCTGCAGATCCCTTTCACTCCTTATCCACCAGAATTTCAATCAATTAAAATCTACTCAGAATTTTTTTCAACTACACCTATCACTAAGCAAATTGATGATCTAGCAAAGGGTTTAATAAGAAATGAACTAAAGACAGTATGGATTATTGCGTTAGAGATAGGCTCAAAATTGCATCATAATTTTCATTCCCAAAGAATTATATAAAATCTTTCTATATCTCTAAGGTTAACCAACTAGGTTATCACAAATCTTCAATATATCTCACATACCTGCGTAGGTACAGCCAGACAGCATGAGTAAGAAACCTATAACCTATGTGGTATAACAAATCATTATTTTGAACCTCAAATTGGTAGAGAGATAAAACAAAGAGAAAGACAACAGTTATGAGATAGGCTAACAAATGGGCTTGAGATAAATATTTGAACAAGAATTAGCAAACAAGTCACCTGAGATATGCACTAATAAATTTTACAACCAGCTTAAAATCTAATAAATCTAAGAATACTTAAAATATACGTATTTTCGCTCCCACACCCATTTTAAGGTCCAAGTCCCCCAAGCTACAATTTGTCACAAACTTGGATAAGTATGTACACTTGACAACTGTACCTCTAGTTACATCACAGTGAACCTATATAAACATCAGTTGCCTAAGATCTCCACACACATGCCCAAAAGAACAAGACACTTGAACAAAAACACCAACTCCATTGAATTAGAAAATGCATCATTCAAATGTACCTAATGCGGGTAAGCTGAACAAATATTCAGCTCATTCATACAAAGATCTCAATAAAGCCTCCTAGTGTAGAGAGATACCTGTAGGAAACGTTCCATTCGTGCACTTGAATGTTCAGGTCCCTGACCATCATATCCATGCGGAAGTAGCACAACAAGACCAGTTTGCCGCAGCCACTTTGCTTCTCCACTGCTCAAGAACTGGTCAAAAATTACCTGAGCCCCATTAGAAAAATCGCCAAACTGAGCTTCCCAGAGGACCAAAGAATTTGGATTTTCCATGGAATAACCCAGTTCAAATCCAAGGACACCAAACTCGGAAAGAGAGCTGCAAAAAGAGCACAGTTTGAAAGATTAGAACAAGAGCTGACCAATTCACAGCTTTGAAGTCAAGAGAATAAAAATATTTATTAAAAAAAAAAACCACCTCACCTGTTACTAACAGTAAACATCTCCTCATTTTGGTTCATCACGACATGGTCCAATGGGCAGTATTTTTCTCCAGTTTCCTGATCATGGAGTACAGAATGCCTATGACTGAATGTACCCCTCTCAACATCCTGACCACTCAATCGGACATGATTGCCTTCAACTAACAATGTTGCAAATGCTAGTGCTTCACCTACTGCCCAATCAATGCCCTCCCCTGTTTCAATCATCTGAGCACGTTGTTCATAAATCCTTTTTACAGCTTTGTGTGGCTTGAAAGTTTCAGGAAGTTTGGTGATTGCCTTGCCAACATCTTTCAAGATCTCTGGTTTAACCCTAAACAAGTTTCATGACATACAGAGACAATTCAAACCAAAAATCCACAAATACGATGTCATACAGTTAAAGAGTACCAAAAAGAAAAGTACCCAGTGTTACGGATTCTAGAAAGCTGCTCGGGAGACTTGAAGCCGAGCCAGTAGGCAGAAAGCCAGTCCCTCCTTTGAGGTACATACTCCTTGCTGGCATCAAACTCCTCATTGAGGATCGTCATAACCTTTTTCTGGATCTGATCAATATCTTCCTTAGACATTTCTCCAGATTCAAGAACTTTCTTCTTGTAGATATCCAGAGAAGAAGGATGATTTCGGATGACCTATCAAAATACAAACAAAAATAAGAAGGTTGTCTTTTCCTCCCTCTATCCACTAATCCTCATCCATTCCATTGATGGTATAATTAGGCATTTAGGCATGAAACAGCTTGTATATGCTAGTCTCAATTGCCTCAGTCAATCTATACTAAAATGAAGTGGCTGAACATGCATATTGTAAGACCAGTTAAGACTTAAGAGATCCTAAGCAAATAAAATTTTATTACTCCAAATAAAAAACATATACATATAAAACCCAGAGAAGAGGAATATTTTTGACATACTTACCTTGTACATTTTTGGTTGGGTAAAAGATGGCTCATCAATCTCATTATGCCCAAATTTACGGTAGCAAACAATGTCTACCACAACATCAGAATGGAAGGTTTGACGCCACTCTGCTGCAAGCTCACAAACATGAACCACAGCTTCCAAATCATCCCCATTTACATGAAAAATTGGGGCATTCAGAGCTTTTGCGACATCAGTGCAGTATTGTGAAGATCTTCCTGCCCTAGGATCAGTTGTAAAGGCAACTTGATTGTTCACCACAATGTGAATAGTGCCGCCAGTAGTGTAATTTGGAAGAGCACTAAGATGGAGAGTCTCATACACCACACCTTGTCCAGCAAAACTACCATCACCATGGATTAAAATAGCCATATTTTTTGTTCTGTCGGCATCATTAGAGTAATATTGTTTAGCTCTTGTTTTCCCAACCACAACTGGATCCACAGCTTCTAAGTGACTTGGATTCGCAACCAATGAGAGATGAATCCGCTTTCCACCCCTAGTAGGCCTATCATAAGAAGTTCCTAGATGGTACTTGACATCTCCAGTTCCAGTGTAAAGTCCAACCTCGTCTGTAGGCTTTACGCCACCACTAAACTCACTAAATATCTGCCGAAGTGGTTTTCTCACAACATTACCCAGAACATTCAACCTACCCCTGTGAGACATTCCAATAACTATATTCTCAACCCCAAGATCTGCTGATCTATCAAACATTTCCTTCATACCAGGAATGAGAGTTTCACAACCTTCGAGACCAAACCTTTTAGCAGTAGTCCACTTAGTTGCTAAGAAACTCTCAAACTGAGTACTCCATATAAGCCTGTCCAGCATCACGTGTCGCCTTTCCTTGTTATATTCCATGGGAGTCGGGGTTTCAATTCTGTCTCTTAGCCAGTTACACTTCTCACGATCAGCTATATGCATATATTCAAAACCAATGCTCCCACAATAAGCCTGCTCCAGACGGTTAAGAATATTTCTAAGCGTCTGAATAGGACGGTTCTCTGACAAAAATCCAGCCATCCTCCATACTCCAAGGAAGAATTCGCGATCCAAGTCAGCTTCGCTGAACCCATAAACATCCAAGTTCAAATCATCAGGAACTGGCCTTTGCTCCAGACTCAGTGGATCCAACTTGGCCTTAAAGTGTCCATTAACCTGATAAGCTCTCACAAGCAGCAGCAGACGCATACTCTCTTGAATAGTTTGTCCTGAGATCCCTGGTGAAGTAGCCGCTTGGCCAACAAAGTTCCTAAAGAAATTGTCCCATGATTCATCAACACTGTTAGGGTCAGCTTCCCAAGCTCTTTGCAGCTCCTCTAGGTAAACACTACTGGTCCCATCAAGAAAACTATCAGTAAGCCGTGAAAGGGGTACAGGACGTGGAACAGGAGCCGCATATGGTTTGAAAACCGTGCTATGAAAGAAACGACTCTGCGAATTAACAAAATAACAGCTTTGTGAATCAATTATTCGCGTTCTAGTCACATAAGAACGTCCCTGAGATACAGTCCTCCTAACAGCAAGCTTCGCCACATTAGATCCAGCTCTAAACCAAGCCATAGCTTCGAATCACAAAATCACCAGCTTAACAAGCTTTAACCCTAGCATGCAACATTAAAGCACTACTGTTACACAACGTGAAAGTTAAAAACAACGTTCGAGATTCAAAGCATAACCAATTTACCTAATACTAAACAAGTACTAACACAAAATGCATGACTATAATAATTGTTTCAATTTTTAGGTTACAGAGAACCTCAATGAATCAAGCAAACATAACGCCGATAAATCCTAAGCCAAGCCGTCAATTAGAAAGCTAATTACATGCATAATCAGATAATTAGGGCAACTAAATTTGTATGAACCTTCAATTTCGCCGATTATTAGAAACATAACAATTTCATTTCAAATAATAATCAGAATTGAAGAATACTAACAGCGAATTGAAGAAGATAACCAGCCAATTCCAAAACAAAATAAAAACAATAATATAAAATCAAAAGAAAACTAAAATTGTACAAAAATTGCAAAAAAAAATACCTCCGAACGATCGAAAAGCGCGTAAAATGAGAAAAGAGAGTAATATTCTTTTCATAGAAGAAGGTTCTAATTTTTTTGTTTGACTTGCATGAAGAACTTTTCATCCAAAAGCGACAACTAAAAGTTTCCAAAACTAACCTCAGAAAAACAAATTTCAAATTCCGCCGCCAAAATCGGCGATTATAGAAATAACAATCGCCGGAAATCGCCAGAAACGTATCAGATTACAGGAAAAAAAAACGATGAGATACCTTTTTCCGGCGAAGATAGAGTTTGCGGTTAAGAAAAATGGAGGAGAGAGAAAAGGTGTGAAGGAAGAAAGAGGTGAGCTTTGCCGGTGTGAAACAGTGCTAGATTGGCGGAAGCGGCATGTAAGAAGAGGTGGGGACAGAGGGTCCGAATAGAGGAGAGAGAAAATGTTTTGAGGTGTTATTGTGTTAATGAGTGAGTCAAGGGTATTTTTGGAAAATTAGGGTCATAACTTGTAATATTTGGATGGTAATAATTAAAGTTTATCATTGTTTTAAAAAAAAAGTATATCATAAATAATTAAACTCCAATTTTAATTGATTTTTTTAATAATTAATGGTACCAAAAATATTTGTTTTTTATTGAAAAAATTAAAAAAAAATTAGTTGTGCAAGAGCTTGAGAAAAAAAGGTTTACTTGAAATTTTATGCGTGCGATTTGAAATAATAGTCACATTGTCTTAATCATAAATAATTACAATAAAAGAGAACAAATATTCAATTACATGTAAGCTCATTCAAATTTAAAGATGTTGATCTTTTCAATAATTAAATTTGTGTTACAAAACATTTGGTTGATTTTACAACTAATCATAAATCGTAACAAAGACTCAATTGATGATTGTTAAACTTGATTTGAGCAAGGTTCATATTTAAGCTTAAAAAACAAATCACGTTGTGCAAAGTCATGTTAAGACGAACAAGCCAAACTCAATAATTTTTATCAGGCTTGATTACAATAAACCTTGGTCAATTCAAGTCATTTGCAACTTGCAAAATATCATAATTGATTATCTTTGGAGGGGGTTCCTTGTCATAATCTCGTTATACATGTTACACCTAAAAATTAATTTGAGACTATAATGGTGTTGAGTTGATGCCACTAAAGAACCATTGATCTATGATAGTGAAGTTAACACTCAAGTAATTTCCCTCACTATAAAAACCTTACCTACGAAAATTCCCTCTTATTAGAAATACACTAGATGGAGGCCCGTGCGATGCACAAGATTAATTATTTGATTTATTCTATTTAATAATTTCAGACAAAATTACAAAAGTTTAATATTTATTTATTTTTACTATAATTTATAATGAATTTATTAATATAAATAAATTGTAAATATGATATTTTTTCCGTTATATAAAATCTTTAATGTGAAATGATAAATTTTTAATAATTTAAATCCTAAATTATTATTCATTGTTTTACCATATCTTTTATTTCGATAGAATCGCCAACCTCGTCCACAACCAATCTACTACATCAATGGATAAATTAAACCGTGAAATGTTAACCAAACTGAAATTGATATAAATTAAATGTTTACATTTATATAAAATAAATCAATATATTTACCAATAAATGAAAATTGTTGCGATATAAAATCAAATCTATGCATTGGAATTTTTTCATCATCTCCAAAAATAACCCGTCATCCATATATTAAGTATACAACATCTAATCGTATGCCATTACATAAAAAAATAATCGTTTAGTATCCTAAATAAATACAATGTAACTAATAATTACAAATATAAAATTAAACATAAGATTTTAAAAATTACCCGACATTGATGACCTAAAACTAACACAAAATTCGCTTGGTGGGGTTTTGTATTGATACGAAATTTTATTTGGGTCGTATGATGTGTTAGATCTGCATGTAAAAAAAACATCTAATAAATAAAACATAAACATATAATCGTTGAGTATCCCAAATTAATACAATGTAAGTAATAATTAGAAATATTAATTTAAACATAAAATTTTAAAAATTAAGCTAAAAATAACCCAGCCATTGATGACCAAAAATTAACACAAAATTACTAACACAAAATTCGCTTGATGGTGTTTTTTATTGATACGAAATTTGTTTGTGTCGTATGATGTGTCAATTTATAATGGTAGGTATCACAAATTTTAAATTAACTATAATTAACAAACAATTTGTATTTCTTATCGTAAATACTATCAAAAATTATCTTATAATGGTAGGTATCAAACTTTATTATAAGCGTTTATCATTTAAATATTTTTTAGTATATTTTTTTTGGATTTCTTATACTCGTAGTATTGAATTAATAAATTTATTTTTTCCTATATTTTACTTTATTTTTTTCATTAAAATAATTTAATTCGTGGATTATAATCTATGTGGCATTAAAATTTTAGATATATCAAATCTAATTCGTTATTTTTATCTAGGTGGCGACATAAATTTTTAATTCAAAAATAAAATACAAATTTTTTTTTTATTGGTCGAAATAAGTATATTTCTTACGTGGCGCTCCGAATGCTCTCGAAAAATGCCTACTTTATTTATATAATATATTAGATTAGATATATTAGATTTCACTCAACATTACATCACTTGAGAAAAAAAAAAAAAAAAGAGGAAATGACCAATGCATTACCTGAGGCCTGAGGGATAATTAATAAAAGTCCACCCTTTAAAACATAATTCATAAAAACAACTAAAATAAGATTATTATCAAAAGGTCAATTAGATCAGCAATTGAAAGCTTTTGTTATTAACCTCCATAAACTACATCATCATCAAAACGTTTAGAACAATTGAACTTGACAATGATTACTGACTAGGAATGAAGCTTCTGATGCCGAAAGCATTATAAACATCAGACATGCCTTCAGCTTATATACCTTACATATAGGAGTACAAGGTACATCAAAGTGCAAACAGTACCCCTGATCTTCAAGGAAGCTTCATTACTCCATATAACAACTCTCAGCAAGAAGCTAATGCATATAGTTTGACAATCTAATGCCTTCTAGGAAATACTTCACATATACAAGGTACATCAAAGTGCAAACAATACTCCTAATCTTCACAGAAAATTCATTATAGCTCTCAGCAAGAAGCTAATACATATAGTTTTCGATGTTCTTCATACAAATATAACTATACGCAATGACCGTGCTGGCATCAGCATGGCACAGCAGCCATGGAATACGCCCAATACAGGGCATTCCATGAACTCTGCTCGACTGCTCATGACGGAGTACAGATGTAACACAATGCATTTTCCAGATTGGTTCAGCTACAAATTGATTGTGGCAAGCAGGTCTATTTTCAAAATGGGCACTACAGCCGACTTTGACTCCCTTCTGCCTCTCACTTAAAACATTACCAATCTAACCCAAGATGCGTCCAAGTTGTTGGATTCCAGATTGTCAAACACTAAAGCAAACAGAAATACAACTTTGGAGTGCATGCATGAAGTTTATTAGATATAGAACTTAGTGTTTCTAATCAGTCAAAAGAATCAGGATATGAAATTTTTCTGTCAAATAATGGGAAACTTAGTTACAGAATAAATGTTTCAGGCACAAATACTGTCAATAAACATTTGGAAGAAAATAACTGAAATACAAAACAAAAAGCTATTGTGTCGATCTCACATTCACATAATACTGCAATTTTGTTGAGCTTCCAGCATTTCTGGTGATCTGCACACAAGGAAGTATAGTCAGTCTCCTTTTTATTTAGTCGAGGTCATATACGCTTTCTGAAATTTAGAGGTCTACATCTAACGCTAACTTTCAAGCCATAGGAATGACACTATCAACATTTTGGAAGATGCAAACCAAGTATTCTGTGACAAAACTATCACGTAGTCATGCTTAAATGGGATGAGATAATGAATATAGGGATCAAAAGAAGCAAAAAAAAAAAGTGTACTTACAGTTGGCCAAGAGTAGATAGATCAAAGTCGGGAGCAAGCTCATGCACAATATCATTTGGTGGGTGGCCACATTCTTGCATTTTCTGCATGAGCTCCACAATTTTGGTGAAGTTACCAGGGTCACTATCATACACTCCATTCAGCTCCTGTATAAGCTTGTACTGGTGAGAGTAACGATTATAATCTTCTTCACTCAAAGTAGATTTATGCTCCTCCAACCATGTTGGATATCTTTCTCCAATTTCCCTCATGGGCTCATACAGGATATCCTTGGACAAGAGCTGCTGCATCATTGTCTCCACAATGGACTCCATATCCTAAGAAAATCATCATAACAGGGAGTAAATAAAAATTCCATATAAGTTAAAAAAAAAAAAAAAAAAAAACTACTATAATACTCCAACAAATCATTCCTTTTCAAAATAGGTATGTTGGAGCTATATTTCTTTTCATACTATAACATAAAGGAAACTATAAGCATATATAACAAGAAAAAAGGGTATCTTAATTCTTAAACACTAATATGGACAAGACAGTACTTCAGAATACAGAAAAGAACATAGATGGAAACAGCCAAAGCCGAAAGTCTGCTTTTTGCAATCTTTTATTGAAGTTAAATTTCTTAGTTTTGTTATACATTTATTAAGAATAATAAAGCTGAAGATACTCTAAAAAAAAATCTCTAACCAATAATGAGATTAATATACTTAAGCATACATGAACTATGTCTAACAAGAGTGAACATAAGAATCTTCAGTTCACCTACATAGCATAAACCCCTACTCGCAGTCAAAAAATTATCTTGTGGTTCACAGTTATGAGGATATTTGACCACACATACTTTCCTGTTCGGATGAAGAAAGTTGAGAGAAGAATAAAAGGCTTCCCATTGAATTGTTCCCATACAAAATCATGAAATTCACTTTAATAACATCAACATAATTCATAAATTGTATACAGCTGAGCAAGGTGATTCTCACACTCTAAAGCCTCCCACCTTTCCTTGCAAACAGTGAGTCCAGCAAAGGTCAATGACATGAAAGCAAAGATAATCTAGTGTAACCCTGCGAGGTTGTGAGAAGCAATGAGGAATTTGGCATGCAGTCAAGGCATCTCAATACTTTAACTAAACTGAAACTTAAGAGGATCTTTGCTCAGTGCTCAAACTATGGAAAATAGCACCATAAATAGCAAAGGATTATTCTTTATCTCGATGCATTAAAGATGTCTCTTAAATGCATCGCCAATATAACTTATACTTCATAAGTAATCTGGTGGAGTGGGAAAATAATTTTACAGACAAGGTTCACCATATATTGCTAGTGATCTATTTCCATGGTTTCAATAAAACTGATACTCAAATTTCTCCCAAAATATTCCCACAAGGTTTTTCCTTTCCTCCTTGGGTTGGATCCAGTCATCCAGTAGATATAATAATGTTTTTTTTTTTTTCATTACTTTATTCTTCTCTCTCTCCTTCCTTGAACCATTATAGTCAGTGGCGGACCCACGTGTAGTCATAGTGGGTCCGCGGACAACCTATTATTTTCTATAAAAAAAAAAAAAAAAACTAAGTATCAAGAGTTTTAGCTTGTAGTCTGGTGGTTTGTTCCCCATCCTACCACATATGAGATACGGGTTCGACTCCCATTACTCTCAAACTTTTTTTTTTTTTTGGGCTTTACAACCTCAATTTCACGATTTAAAATATCCCCAATTCCCCCAAATTGAAACCCTAAGTCTCAAAGTCACCCAATTACCGAAGCCCCGTCGCCGTTCACCGTATCGCCGCCTCGCCGGCAGCCTTTTCGTGCTTCTCCGTCAGGTATGAGTGAGGCGTCCGTCAAATCGTCAATCCGTCTGTGAGTTTGTTAGCGTCGTGCTCGTGCAGTGGCTCCCCAAATTCGATTTTTTTGAGGTTAGTTTTAAACTTTTAATTTATATAATTACATTGCAATAAGATTATAGAGATTAGATTCTATATTTCTATATGAAATCATCAATTTAAATGTTTAAATCAAAATTACCAGTATGTTTAATATCACTATATCAGTGTATGAGTTTTTTTTTTTTTTTTTTTTTTTTTTTTTTTGGGTGAAATTTCTTGATTTGATTAGTGCTTGATTATTTGTATGACTTTATAAAAGCTTGAATGTCACCACTTGATTATCGTCACTTGATTACCACATGAGTTATTCCTAAAATATGAGTTAAAGTAGTAGCAATTTTAATACAAATTTTGACAAGTAACTAAACCGTTACAGCCTTGAATTGGTTCTCTAAATTTTACTAATATCATGGCTATCTTTATTGCTAATATCGTCATCTTTAATAAGAATAGTTGTGTTCTAGATTCAAGTGTATTAGAGGGAATTTATAATAGTTGAATCTGTGATGTGAATGATTTGTCTAAGTAGTACTCATTTGATAGTATGACTTGTTAGGGAATCAAATATCTGTGTCTATGCATTAGCAAGAGTCTTGTATTTTAGCAAGTGTGAATTATTAAGCCTTGACTGCTATTATTAGTCCAGATTTGACCTTACAATGCAATCTGTATGGAGCAACCTCATGGGTATATCTGAAAATAGGAAAAGATGCCTGCATCTATCAAGATATTTTGTTGAATCTTAATGCCATTGCACTTTTACAATGATTTTGTTGAATCTTATTGCCACTGCACTTTTACAATGATTAAGAATCTTTAGTTCGATATAGTTTTAGCTTACTTGATGTATACAAAAGTTCACATGAGCACAGTTGTGGAGTCTATAGCTATTTTATAATGTGATATTATATCTCAGTTTCTATATATAGTGGCCTATATTTATTGTAGAGTATAGTATGCATGGTTGTAGATATAGTTGCAGTTTAGATAATGGTATGTGTATTAGCCTAATTTATTGTAAAGTATAGTATGCATGGTTGTAAAGTTACTTAATAGTATGCAATTTGTTCACTTAATGCAGCAGGTATAATCTAATCCTAAGTACATTTATTAGCTATTGAGAATGGTGATTGCTAATTTGGAGATTTGGGGTTGAAGGGTGGACTGAAATTGAGGTTAATGGGCGTTTTTTTTTTATGATATTATTAGTTTTAATAACCTTGAGAGAACCCTACTTGTATGATTTATCTAATTCAACCTAACTTCAATTTCAGAATGAAAAGAAAAATAACTCAAGATATTTCAAGTTTTTTTACTAAAAAAGTGCCTACTCTAAATCCTCCTCCTCCACAAAATGATCCTCCTCCACAAAATGATTTACCCTCTCAAGAAAGTGAACCAAGTACTCCTTTACATCATGCTAGTGAACAACATTCTTCCCCATCTCACAATTTCCCTCAATATGAAGATGGGCAATCTTTTCCCCAAGGTGTTTCGGATCCTAGTGCTCAAATTGGTGAAGGAAGATTAAGTGCACTTGATATTATTAATCTTCCACAAGACCCCGGAAAAAGAAGAAGGATGTGTGATTTTCATCCCGATGATAGGGATTTAGTGCGGAGAACATACATTCAAAGAAAGCCATGTCAACCTAAAGATCATGTGTTTCCTCAAACACTTTTTGGGCCGAATAAAAAACGCCGATTTTGTGTTAAATGGTTTGATACTTGGCCAACATGGCTTGAGTATAGTGTTGAGAAAGATGCTGCCTTTTGTTTCATTTGCTATCTGTTTAAGGATGGTAACACAGCGGGAGTGGATGCTTTTGTTAATGGAGGTTTCAGATCTTGGAATAGAAGAGACACAATTGTAAAGCATGTTGGTGGACACAAGAGTGCTCACAATAATGCCGTGATTGCTATGAACTTTTTCATGAATCAAATGAGTAGCATTGCCACCGCTTTATCAAAACAAACAGCGGAAACCATGAGTGCCTATCGTAAGAGATTGGAAGCTTCAATCGAAACCATTAGATGGCTATTGTTCCAAGGGTTGCCTTTTCGTGGTCATGATGAAAAGGAAAGTTCATTATCTAGAGGTAACTTTCTTTCGTTATTAACTCTTCTTTCAAACCATGATCTTGAGTATTCCAAAGTTGTTTTTAAAATGGCCCCCGGTAATTGTCAACTTACTTCTCCAAGTGTCCAAAAAGATATAATCAATGCTTGTGCTAAAGAAACAACTAAAGCAATATTAGAAGAACTTGATGGTGGATTTTTTGCTATTCTTGCTGATGAATCTGCCGATGTTTCCGATAAGGAACAAATGGCACTTTGTTTGAGATTTGTTAATAAAAAGGGGGAAGTGTGTGAGCGTTTTCTTGGTATTGTGCATGTTCCTGATACTAGTTCTTTGACTCTCAAAGCTGCTATTGAGTCATTACTCATGGAACACTCTTTAACTTTCTCTCAAGTTCGAGGTCAAGGTTATGATGGGGCAAGTAATATGCAAGGTTCAATCAATGGCCTTAAAACTCTAATATTGAATGAATGTTCTCAAGCATACTTTGTTCATTGCTTTGCTCATCAACTTCAATTGACACAAGTTGCACTTGCTAAGAAAAACTCAGATTGTGGTTGGCTTTTTGTTGACGTACTTGCACCTCTCTTGAACTTTGTGGGAGGTTCACCTAAGAGGAAAGAATTTCTTCGAGAAAAACAACGTCAAGGGGTTGTAGAAGCATTATCTTTGGGTGAAATTGAATCGGGAACTGGTTTAAATCAAGAACGTGGCTTATGTAGACCTTGTGATACTCGTTGGGGATCTCACTTTAAAACCATTTTGAATGTGCTTGATTTATATCCTTCAATACTTTTGTCACTTGATTCCATTGCAGAAGTATCTGATACACTTGATTCGAATAAAGCACAATCTATTACACACTTGTTGATGTCATTTGATTTTGTGTTTGTGGCACACTTGATGGTTGATATATTTGGCATTACAAATGCGTTGAATGTGGCATTGCAAAAACATGATCAAGATATTGTAAATGCAATGGTCATGGTTGATGTAACCAAGACTAGTTTGCTGAGAGATGAAGGATGGGATTCACATATGGAAAAAGTCACTTCTTTTATGGCTAAATATGACATTGAGGTTCCAAACATGGAGGGGCGATATGTGGTTCCTGGGAGAAGAATGTATAGAGGTAAAGGTCCACATGTGACTAATCTTCATCATTTTAGAGTTGAAGTTTTTCTAAGTGTCATTGATCTTCAATTACAAGAACTTGAAAATCGATTTCCCGAGGTAAGTAAGGAATTACTTGTGTGTATGTCTTGCTTTAATCCTGCAAATCGGTTTCATTCTTTTGACAAAAGAAAGTTAGTTCAACTTGCTAAATTTTATCCCGGTGAATTTTCAAGCTCTGAGTTATTATTTTTTGAACATTCACTTGAAAATTTCATTGTTGATGTTCGAAATGATGAGAGATTTTGGAATTTGAAAAGTCTAAGTGAACTTTCTACGAAACTTGTTGAGACGGGAAAGTTTGAAACTCATGACCGAGTCTACTTACTTTTGAAGTTAGTGTTGATTCTTCCCGTTGCAACGGCAAGTGTAGAAAGAGTATTTTCTGGAATGACGCAAGTTAAAGATAAATTGCGTAATAGCATGGGAGATCAAATGTTGAATGATTGTTTGATTACTTATCTAGAAAGAGATTTGTTTTACAATGTTAGCATGGATGATATTATACATCGTTATCAAAATATGAAAACTCGTCGAGAGCAATTGTAATAAAATTAGTACTTTTTTAGTTGTAATATGAATTTGAATTACTTTATGAAATGAACTTTTTATGTATTTTTTTTTTTGTCCATCATTCAAGCTTTGACTATTTTTTGATATTTTATGCGGTCGGTGGACGATGATGGGATGGGACAACCTATTATTTAAATCCTGAATCCGCCACTGATTATAGTACCCACTTTCTCTCACCCATCTGAACAACAATCCACAAACACTGCCATTTTAGAATTCACTTATACTCCACAAAGCTCGATTATCCGTGTGCCCAAGGGAGACAAATTTTTTTGTGAGGAAAGAATATATAGATCTCAGTAAATTATCATAAAGGTTCCCCAACATCATACAATGCACCAACTTGATTATGGTTTTTGGGCAGTCCAAGCTTTTTATACAACAAGCCAAGTTGGATAAATAGGTTCCCAAAGTATCTCCAAATTATCTGAGATTCTAAGATAAACTAGGGAAGAAAATCAGCAATGATTTGCTCAAAGCTACAAACTATCATATAAACAACGAAGAATCAACCACATTGGCTTAGTACATCTAGAATTGTTAACAAACACTTAACAGCAACAAACATCATTCTCCTTCACTACAACAACATTATGACAATGATACCCACTGTAACCCCCATTATCCTCACTCAACATACCAAATTACCTCAAACAAAAAGGAAAAGCACTTAATACAATATTAAACACAAACTAAAAAAGAACCTCGTAATTATTTGTTAAAGCAACAACCCCATAAAAAGAAATTAATAGAATTATACCTGAGAACCAGCCATCTCCTCAAATTGCTTAACCCATTCCTCCATCATTGCATCCTTACCCAAATCATCACCCGCTTTCGGTGTCCCGGAAATTGACTCCATATTCTTAACTGCCTCCCTTGTCTGCTGCCTAAGCTTATCAAGAGTCTCATTAACATGAGATTCTTTAGGATTAGGATTATTAGCCTTTTGTTTACCCTTTTTTTTGGATTTCAAATCAGGCAACCCTAACCCTAACCCTTGTACATTTGTGGGCAAAGACAATTTCTCTTCTTTTTCCTCATTCTCCTCATTTCTGCCAAAAACCCACCCCAGAATTCAACTCAAACTATCAAAAATTGCCATCAATTTATGTAAAATTGAAAAGGGTAAAATTATGAGAATTACCTTTGAGATGAAGTGACATTAAGGCTTTGAAAATCATCCAAAGCACCTGAAAACAAAAAATCCGGCAAAATTTCAGATTAATTGAAATTTGATTCAATTATTGGGGATTGAAAGAGTAAAGAAAAGATTACTGACTGTCTAAAAGCTCGTCCAAATCATCAGTGTTTGCCGCCATTGAACGAACACAAGATTTCTCTTATGGCAGAAAATCACCCAAAATTATTTTGTTTGGGAAGAGGTGGAGTCGTGAAGAGATGAAGACTATTGGGGTGACTGAACTACGATATGGTTGAATCGTGTGTGGTGGGGTCAAGAACTAAAGATCTACAAAATCAAGGCTTGGCCCTCCCTCGGTCTACAATTTTAGACAATGGCTGCAACCGCGGTTTAAGTTCACCTTATTCTTGTTAAATTCGTAAGAATGTGTATTTTTAAAAAAATCAAAATTCCTTAAGTTTTTTTTGTAGATCTTTAACAATAAAAAACCAACAATAAAGTATAATCATAACTTAATTTTTCTTTTCTTATCTGATCTAAGGTTAACCACAAGTCACCATTCTATGACATTTTCATGTTTGGATTTTTGAATGTACACCCGGAATAATAGAAAGCTTTTTAAATAATAGAATCAAGTTATATCCTTAATGATGTAGGATTAGAATAATTTGACAATTTCCAACTCTTTAAGTCTTAACTACACCAAAGCCTTAGTGGTAGCAAAAACAGATGTTGAGTGGGCTAGACTGCCCGACAAGATGAACAAAAGATCTCTTTTCATGTAGTAATTGAATTATAAACTACACAAGTTATTAGCTAGTAAGCTTTGATTCATGTCGCTTGAAGTTGTAATATACTTATATGGTTACATTATGACCTCCAATTCAGAGGGTACAACTCAAGGATCTTCCAAAAAAAATTGAACCGATTATGCTTAAACTTAACTACTCGGTAATGAAACCTAATTATCCAATATTTTCCCTTGCAAAACATTACCTTCAACTCTAGTCGAAAGGAAAATCTTGATGGTATTCCATGTCATCTCCACATCTAGAGGCAATTCTTGTGATGCGGAAAGAATCCTCCATTCCATGACAATTACAACACGGTCAGGAGGTTGACCCATGAAGACGTAAATGTGGGCTTCATATTATACAAACTAAGAAATTCTAGGCTGTTACGAGAGGTTGGAAAGGGGGGGGGGGGTCTAAGGTACATTACACTGTTCACCACATGCATGAGAACATCGTCCTAGGAAAATTCATGATTTAGCTTGTCTCAACTGCAGAAGGATTTTCCATGGCAGAAGGCTGCGTTGAACTTCCTCCTACCACCTCGGCTGGGGCAGGCATGTTTGTAGTTGGAGGCGCTGACGTCACAACAGGCCTGGACATGGGAGGCCTTTGAGCACCCAAGCCCATCGATGGCCTCAACATTGAATTTATAAAGCCTGGAGGCATCCGATTCATTGGGTATGATGATGGCAACATCCTAGATGAAGAAGATTGTATTCCAAGTCGACTTGCAATGATTTGAGCTCGTTCATTAAAAAGTTTCTGTCTTGATCGCTCCAGTTGCTCCCTAACTCTCATAATAGCATGCTCCATTTCAGTGAAGTAACTCAACTTAATCTCCAACTTCCGCAGCTGCATTGACAAGAAATTACTAATGTACCTTCATACAATAGGATACTCTATTTCTTTTCAGACTGGATAATCATTAACATTCTGCATGATAAACTAAGCAGACGAAATAACTGACTTCTTCATGATAAAAAGATTAAAATTTGGCTTTGCCTAGTTTAGTTTCTTCACTTTCAATTCTTTTGTTTTGTGAGTGTCTGGGGGGGAGTTGATTTACCTGCTTCTCAATCAGTATAGTTGATAGCTGCCTGATTTCATCTTCTTCCTGTTTGGCAAGAAGTTTAGCCTTCACAGCAGCAGCAGAGAGTGTGGCCAGGGCAGCACGCTTCAGCTTAGCTATATTGTCATCATCCTTTTTCCGTGTTGTTTTTATAGATATAGGATCCCTGGTTTTATCAACTTCCATTTTATCCTCTCCTACAGAGAAGAATTCGCCTTGTCAATTACAATAGGTCAGGCAGGCAACAATCATTAACACCAAAGAGGATGGCAGATGAATAATGATAACTGGGAAATAAGCATTCCATGCTACTCTCCATCCATCAAATGATGGTCAACAAACTAAACACACATTCACCAAATTCTCATGAAGTCAAGTATCATCAAGAGTACACCATTTCAGTGACCCTTTTAAGATTCCGCAATACAGAATTATATGCAAGAATTACAAGCAAATATACCTGCCTCTGACGCAATTTCTACCATTGGAACTGCACCTGCTACCTCCTGTTGCTCTGCCTTATCAGAAACAACAGAATTGGGCTCCATATCTGAATCCTTCGGGACATCCGTGCATTGAACATTTTCTTCAGTAGTCTTCGAGATCTCTGATTCACATTTTGATCCAGGCGGAGGCATAACTTCAGATGCAGAAGTAACTTGGTCTATTGGAGCCATGAGAGAGTGCTCATTCTGCAGGCTGCGATTTTGTGGCTCGTTCACAGACTTTGTTCCACCCTGCTCAACGTTAGTAACTTCATCATGCTTTTCTTCTACTATCCCCTTCTCTTCATCAGGCTTCTCAGTGATTTGGGACTTCTCTTCAACAGACTTCTCAATTACTTGGGGCTTCTCTTCATCAGGTTTTTCCGTGACTCGAGACTTCTCTTCATCAGATTTTTCCGTGACTTGGGACTTCTCTTCATCAGGTTTTTCGGTGACTTGGGATTTCTCTTCAACAGATTTTTCCATGTTTTGGGACTTCTTTTCATCAGATATTTCCATGACTTGGGACTTCTCTTCATCAGGCTTTTCCATGACTTGGGGTTTTTCAGCAGACTTTTCACTGATTAGGGACTTCTCTTCATCAGGTTTTTCCACGAGTTGGGACTTTTCCTCAGGCTTTTCCACTGATTTGGACTTTTCATCGGACTTTTCAGCTACTTGAGGCATCTCTTCATCAGACTTTCCAGCGACTTGGGGCATCTCTTCGCCAGCCTTCTCAGCTGCTTGAGGCATCTCTTCGTCAGGCTTTTCAGTGGCTTGGGGCGTCCCTTCATCAGGCTTCTCCGTGGATTGGGAGCTTCCTGCACATGTATCTTGCTCTCCAGGAGGCAATTGAGGGTCATCACTTGTATTAGCATCCTTCTTGTGATTTTGACCATCTTCAGAATGACTTTCATCCAATAATGGAGTGGACTTCTCCTTGGTATGGATAGCTTTGTCATTTTTGGACTCCACTTCAACCATATCTGAAGCATTCTGATCAACTTTTTCTGTAGCTGTGCTGCAAAAGATAAAATCCAAATGACAAATGAACACAATAACAAAATACTCGTACTATGGCTTTATATTCACGCAACTTGCAGCAGAACATACCTCTCAGAAACAATATGTTTTTTTTTATCATCTGGTGGATCTTCCAGAATAAAGCAGTGCCTTGCAGCCAGTTGCGACCCTGGAGAACTTTGAGAGAGTGTCTTTAGTGAGATACAGGAGGATGCAGCAGCAAGATCAGGTTCCACTAATTGAGATAGGAACGCAGCCTGAGAAATGGATATATCAAGAGCATGAAAGAGTTGACAACATCAACAAATTGCAAAACAAAAAAAAAAAAATCCAGGGCTTTTATGGGCTGCAGGCCAATTTCTCAAGATATGTTGTCAAAACAAAACATCAATCCTAGCTTGTATGCCCCAATTTTTCAACTATTTGACTCATATTTCTAAATACCCTATACAATATCTATTCCTATCATCCATCCTTTGTCCAGTTCCTGCAAAAGGCAAGTCACAGTTTCCAAAGACTGCACATGCCCATACAGATTTATGTTTGAAACCACAGATCAGATGTGAAATCCAAAGGTTGTATTGCTCTGCTAGCTTTTAAGAAACTTTCTGAAGAAAACTAATAATTGACACATTCACATAGTTTATCTTACCAATGCCATCACAGAATTACCCGCTTCAGCAAAAGAAAGCTCATCATCTGGAGTAAGTGGGCAACCAGCTACATGAAATGCCTCCTTTAATGCCTTGATTATTAAGTCGTCACCTTTACCCTGAACTACCTTTTCACTGAGACCATCCTCTAAATTCGAAATTTCTTTTTGGGTAGACACAGATTGAGCAGCAATACTATCAGTTTTAGTACCTGATGGCTCTGCATTATCTTCAATAGGTTTGCTTGATGATGGTTCAGATTTATCTTTACCACTTATACTCTCTGCTGGTCCATCATTATCTTTACCAGTGTCGCCTTCTAAGGGTTCAGGATTATCCTTCGGGACAGGTAGTTCATTACTGGTTGAGGCTGGTTCTCCATTCTCCAGAGCAAGAATTTTTGTATCATCACAATCAAGAAAAGTATCCTCTATAGGCATTTGAAGAAAATGCAATATGCACTGAGCTTTAGTTTTCGTGGCAACATGCTCAGCTATCTCATTCCAGTTTTCTTTGAAAAGTTCCAATGCTTCTAACAGGAGAAGTGTCTCCTGATCAGTCCACTTCCCACCAGTTGATCCCGAAGCCTCAGCAGGCTCCATGAGAATAAAGTCAGAGGGGCACATGCCAGAGCCAAATTTTCCATTGTTATAGCACTCACTACATAAATCAAAATCTGCCTGTGCACAGAAATATTGTCAGCCATTTAGCATCCAGAAATTAAGAAAAAGAAAGCCACTAAGATTACACTCAGGAGCAATATTGAAGTGCAAATACAATTGCAAACATGAACTAGTAGCTCAGGACATTTCCAAATTCCCCCCCCCCCCTCTCGTTCCCTATACAAGATAAAGGAACCCCTAGCCTCACTTCAAAACCACAATCCAGGTTAAACAGATGTCAGAATCCATGAAATACATCCCACTAAGTATTGCTGGCTCACACAAACACACACAAAAAAAAAAGAGAAGGTACCGCTGGATCACACACTGATCAGAACCTTGAAGATTATACATAAATGCTTTCATATAGCAAGAGAATGAGATCATATTGGTGCAAGCCAGTTACATCCCCTCCCCCCACCCCCCCAGCTCAGGACATTTCCAAATTCCCCCCCCCCCTCTCGTTCCCTATACAAGATAAAGGAACCCCTAGCCTCACTTCAAAACCACAATCCAGGTTAAACAGATGTCAGAATCCATGAAATACATCCCACTAAGTATTGCTGGCTCACACAAACACACACAAAAAAAAAAAGAGAAGGTACCGCTGGATCACACACTGATCAGAACCTTGAAGATTATACATAAATGCTTTCATATAGCAAGAGAATGAGATCATATTGGTGCAAGCCAGTTACATCCCCTCCCCCCACCCCCCCCCCCCCCCCCTCTTCTCTTTCTCTCTCCCCAAGAAACTAATTTAGTAATTCAATAAGAACTTATTTAGTTTTTAATTAAAAAATTAAATACTACCTCCGTTTCATATTATTTGCAACATTTGCACAAATTTGATGCTTCATATTATTTGCAACAAATGTTTTCTTTCCTATTTAAGTTGTCATTTCTCTCTATTTGTTCCTCTAACACTCACTTACAAATTTAGCCTAGGAGTCCATGCAACCTCTAAAGTTGCAAAAAATACGAAACAGAGGCAATATAAAATCACACACACACACACACACACACATATAAAGAACAACCAAATCAAAGAAATATCACCTGCTTCTGGCAATGGTATCGCTTGCGAGAACAGTCAGCAGAACAAGAGTTGCAATGATACTCAACTGCAGGCCCCTCTTGTTTTACCAACTCTTCAGCAATAGACTCGGGAAATAGGCCTGATGGCACTGCTGCTGCTGCTGACATGTTGGCTCTTGGAACTAACTGTGGAGAGGATTGCTCAAGTTCAAACTGATACAACTTTTCAATTAATGAATCTGTTTTATCTTCCTTGTCAGCATCTGTATTTGGATCGGCATCAACATTAGGGTCATTCTGAGGAAAAGGATGATAGTTAATCAAACCCCAATGATCTAGAAACTCCATAATCTCTTGCCTTGCATCTAAATCCCCAACAGACAGCTCTGACAGGTCTTTTAATTCAATGTTTGTGCTAGGATTGGCATGAAACCTCTTCATGATCCAATTCCGTATCTCCTTGTAGATGTCTGGAGTCCGATTTTCCACCTTCTCGTTGAAGAAAGAAAACAGTGTTTGCTTCTCAATTGAATGAATATTTGTCCAGGAAAACCAACCTTAAAATAAAAATAAAACTGTATTAATAAAAGAATATTCTAATACATAGTAGCTCACACTATTTGATTACAAAGTTTGCTAAAGCAATCATATGGAGAAAAAACAAAGACAAAAGCAGAGTAAATGAGGAGGAAACGGTTTCAACCAAGACACAAAAAATGCTTCTGTCACGTATCAAACTCCATGCCTCAGATCCCAGACATAAAGTTGCATGCAGTAGCAAAAAAAACTGGCAAATACACTATATAAAACTACTTGTACCTTATACAAATAGCAAGTATATTAACAGCCTAGAGCTTATTTGTACATTTGTAAGATACTTTACAGGCAACATCATAATACATTTTATCCCAATGTGCAAAGTATAGAGAATACTTATTTTTCTACCTTTATTACCAACTATAAAAAGTATATAGAATACTCCATACCACCCCATGTAACATGTAAGAGTTTGATGTCCTGATATGGATAGAGACATAAGAGAGAGAGGAGGCTGAGATACAAAAAGCCTTTCACTAGATGCTTAGTCCTTTCAAAATTAAATTTAAATAATTGGTTTTAAATTTAAATAATTTACTTACACTTTCTCACACGTGTAATGCATCCTTTTAATAAATGCTCTATCAACTCTATTTGTCCAATTCAACGGAAACAAGTTAATTTTGTAGCAGCCTAGAGGGCAACAAAAAAGACAAAATTGCATCCTTAGCTCATACAACAAGCTAAAAGCTCCACATCACCACCGAGAGCATATTTATATTAACCCAGATGCTACAAACACAAAGATGATCCCTAAATATCACATTTCTCGTTCAGCTCATCCCCTTTACACAAAACTCTTGATACAAATACCCAAAGCAGGGCAGCACAGATGATCAACAAAATTAAGTGGAAATTCATAAAGCAATTAACCAGCAATAACAAAATAAATGACTATCAGAACGGCAATCACAAACGATCTCTAAGTTCACATATTTCGTTTAAGATTGCAAAATCTCACAGTATTAATTCCAAAAGGCCAACACTAAGCACAACAAGTATGAATTAAAAGAAAATGTGAATCCGAAAAGGCAGCAAACCAGCAGAAATGGAAACAACATGAACAACACAATCGTAATTAATAACACAAACATATCCCTAAATTTCAAATCTTTCATAGTTAGCAAAATAGATTTCCCACTGTTCTTATTCCATACAAAATCCAAAATTCAGCATAACACAATCATAAAGGTGATGAAATAAGAGTGAAAATCTGTAAAGCAACTAACCAGCAGCAACAAAAACAAAATAAGCACCAACATCGATATCAATAGCACAAACATAATCCCTAAATTCACAATTCTCGTTCAATTTCACTACTTTTCACAACATTCTTACTCCAAAAACCCTAAATTCAGCAGAATAACACATAAATCATAAAATGATGTAAACACGAGTGAAATTTGACTAACCAGCAGCAACAAAAACAACATGAACACCAAAATCGCAATCACTGACACAAACATGATCCCTAAAATTTACCATTCTCGTTCAATTTAGCTACAGTCTTACTCCAGAAACCCTGAATTCAGCAGAATAACACATAATTCATAAAATTGTTGTAAAAAGGAATGAAATTTGACTAACCAGCAGCAACAAAAACAACACGAACACCAAAACCGCAATCACTAACACAAACATAATCCCTTAAATTCACAATCCTCATTCAATGTCGCTACATTCTCTCCAAACACCCTAAATTCAGCAGAATAACACATAAATCATAAATGATGTAAAAAGGAATGAAATTCGACTAACCAGCAACAACAAAAACAACATGAACACCATAATCGCAATCACTAACACAAAGATGATCCCTAATATTCACAATTCTCGTTCAATTTCGCTACATTCTTACTCCAAAAAACCCTAAATTCAGCAAAATAAAACATAAATCATAAAAAAATATTGCCAGAAGGAAATAAATTCAACTAACCAGCAGCAACAGGAACAACATGAACACTCGAATCACGAGTTCGAATCTCATCAAACTCAGCATCAATCATAGCCTGAAGCTTCTCACATTCTTCCTTAGCCAATTTTGCTTCTTCACCTCCCTCAGCAACCGCAGAATCGTTCACAGCAGCCATAGAAGTCTCATCTTTCATAGCATTAAGAGCAGAAAAGATGGCGGCATTGTTATCGGACAACTGCCGAGCTCTGGTTAACGGACCGTTGTGGATCGGAGGAAGGAGAGAGAAGAATCCGCCGGAAGCGGCGGCTGCTGCGGCGGCGGCTTTCTCACGAGCGTGGCGCTTCGGAGGCGCCGATGATGAGGAAGTGTTGGTGGATTTACGCTTTTGGTTTCGGCGGCGAGGAGCTGGTGGTTCTGTCGCCGGATAATCGCCGGATTTTGCGGAGGAGGTGGCGGGAATTGACGGCGCCGGTGACGGAGATCCGGCTTCTTGGCGTGGTTTGTCTTCCATTTTGGTGAGTGGATTGTTGTGTCTCTCTCCCCCTGGTATGTTCAAGGGTTTTGTTGGGGGAGGGAGTGTGAGTATGAGTGTGGTTTTGAAGTTCTTCGTTGAGAGTATGGTTCAACAAATTGTGATTACTTTAAAAATAAAATTTTAAAAATAAAAGAAAACAACTCTTCATGAAATCATGGTAGATGTCTAACATGTCTTCTCAAAATCTGAATAATCGAGGTTGTGTTGTTTCGTTTAAGGTGTATTGTGAAGGATTTTTAGGTTGAACTGAAAAAGTCTCTATTAATAATGGATGATTCAGAAATTTGGGATATCTCTCTGTCGAACCAAAGGGTTCAATCCCGAGTTGTCTTTACATTGGGAACTTGGGATGTATATTTAAAGGATTTTCAACTGATTGAGCTGATATAGTCTGAATTAACAATGGGTGTTTTAAAAACTTGAGATATCTTTCTACTGAATCAAAAAGTTTCAACCCAGGATTACCTGTGCACACATACTAAAACTTGTATGTCACATAGAAGTTACTTTCATTCAGAGATATGGTGAATGACTCTCCGTGTCTAATACTTCGCAATTCTATTCTAATTACTATTCGAATGGCATACAATTACTATTGATCTTAAAAAGACTTTGTAATCAAATTTGCAATGCTACAACTGCGACACGATCAGCAGTCAACGCATTATATCCGTCCTTGTAACATTACGAACAACATGAACCATATTTCCTAACCACACTCCTTCTGTTTCATCGTCCCCTTTGTTTGCCCCAAGAAAAGGCAAAAAGCAGTGAGAATATCGTGTGTTTGAGAGTAATATATTTTTCCATCTAAAAATATATAGTATGAGGATAACTCAAAAGGTAAACAAATTTAAGGGATAGATTAAGTATCAGGCCATTCAACAATCTTTTTGGTAGATAAAAATATGACGGTGATGTATTAGCCTACTTTCTTATCAAATTGCAGTTTTATCGAGCATGCAATGATGACTTTTTTTAAAACCTCTTTTCACAACTTTTATTTCGTGCACTGTAAATCACTAAATAAAATTTTTATTATTTTTCTTCCCTCTATTCCAAACAATTCTTCACTAATTAAAAGGAAAAAAAATGTGTAAAATTTAATAGGAAAGACAACTATCAGTGAAAAGTGCAAAGAAAAAACATTGGAAAACAAGGAAAGACCAAATGTTGATGTTCTTCCTCGAAAAATTCAATGGAAATCCAATCCGTTAAAAAAATACGAGTATAAACCAAGTACTACGTATATGTTTCCTCCAATATAGTATTCCCTCTGTCATCCAATAATTATCTTGTATATTATATTGGTCAATTATCAAATAATGTCTTGTTAACTTAAATGGTAAATTTCAATCTCACATCACATTGTTATGGCTCCACTTCTAACTATCTCACTCTCAACTTCTTTATTAGCCAATGTGTGTAAATACACTCTAAAGTTTTTACTTCCTAGTTTTAAAATAAAAGGTAAAATGTTAAGAGCATCCACAACCATTGTAACTTTATTTGGTATGTCAAATCTTCAAATTATAACCTTTTTCAAGCTATAGCCTCTCTTAATTGAAAGCCACAACATCTTGAGTTTTATTTGCAACTCTCATTACAACGTTGAAAATCAGAAGATAAAAAGAAACAAAACTTCGAGCATGTGGGACCCATCTTGCAACTATTTTCAAACTAGGGGTGAGCATGGGTCGGGTACCCGAACCGTTAACACTATCGGTTCGGGTACCCGATAACCAATAACACTAAAAATGATATCCATTAAGTTCGGGTTCTCGAACTTCGGGTACCTAGATTTTCGGATTGGTTATCGGGTACCCGAGATGATATCTAATAATGAAAATTTAGACTTTATAATATAGCTATTATGATATCATTCAACACTAATATAAATAATACCACATGATCATGACCAAATTACTAATAATATTACTAATCATTTAAATTATGAAGTGATTGTGAAGTAAAGTATGAATTTAGATTTTGGATAAATAGATTTAAGTAGGAAAAACAAAGAAAAAATTGCTTATCGGATCGAATGAATCGGGTAACCGTTAATTTTAAAGTGATGCCTAATAACCATACCCGATATCAAATTATCGGATCGGGTACTCGAACTGTTATGGTTATTGGAACGGGTACCCTAATTTTCAGTTTGGTTACAGTTCAAATTTTCGGATAATTTGCTTAGCCCTACTTCAAACACCTCAAAGCACATGTAGAATTTAATTTTCATTATAATATAACCTTAATTAACTAAGCTAATAGCTTTGTCATAAGCCCTAAAAAAACAAAAAAAAAAAAAAAAAAAAAAAAAAGCTTTGTCATAACACTTTATTGTAGTTGGTGGGGTTTAAACTTGTGACCTTAAAGTAGTCACAAGGTGAGTTCTCCACCAAGCTTGCTTGGTTATGCACATATATTGATATATACCTCAATAAAGTCATTATATACATGTAAATAGGGATGACAATTATAAATGGATATCCGTAAACCCGATCTACCCGATATTAATAAATGGACAAAAATCCACGTTAAATATCAAGGGCGGATGACGGATAAAACGGGTGACGGATCGAGTCGGATTCGGGTGGGGCTCTGTTCCATCCATCACCCGATCCGTCATCCGTTTTTACCCAAGCTTTTAAGCCTCTCCCAATGCAACCCTGGTTAGAAAATAAACCTGTTGTGACATCCATCTGATATAAATTTGTTTTCTAACCGAGGTTGCATTGGAAGATGCTTAAAAGTAGGTGGAGCGGATGAATTAAACGGGTGAAGCTCGATCCGTGTCATTCCTACATGTAAAATACAACACAATGATTCAGATATTTGATGGTACGTCAATTAATTAATCATGACGAGCAACATCAATTTTCATCTCGATAATCATGATCACGTTGAAACTTATTGCTATATTTGAGAGTTGAGACCATGGATTAGGTAAATATGTTCACTTTTTATATTTGTGCATTAATTATCAATTTTATTTGAAACCAAGTTGGGGTTATTTATTATTTGTTGCTCTGTCCAACAAGTGAACGACATTGCCTTGAAGGGTCTGAGGCTAATTTCGACAATTTTAATATTTAGAGTAGAGAATTACATCATCCTACTCGTCATCTTCGTGTTCTTCTTCATGTTCATGCACTACTACACGCCATACTACCGCATTAATCTATCTTTTCTTTTTGCCCAAGCAAACCTATTAAATAAAGTAAATAATACTCCGTACTTCGTAGTTCGTACCTAGCTGGACTCGAGGAGGGAAATTTATGTTAAAATCTTCAGTCATTCAGTGTGTTTTGCAAGTTTTCGTCTGAGAAAGTCTAACTCTATACAAATACAAAGGTCCCATCACTTTTAAATACTTACGACATTTTGACTTTGACACTTTTATACTACTAGTATGTAGTATTAATGTTGATTATATTTTGTGTATTAACTAAGTGATTGTTGCAAGTTTTTAGAAATAAAGGGAGTATTTAATTGGTCATTACATTGAAATCAATTGGTAATAAGTATAAATATATATAATTTTTAATGTTTTAATTTAATGTAAGATTTTAAAAATTGATTTTAGCTTTTACAATTTTCAATCACTTATAATTATAATTCGTATATTATTGATAAAAAATACGCAATAAAAACCGAACAAATAAAAATGGAAATAGTATGTACATTTGACGAAGTAAAAAGATTGAGAAGGGACGTACCAATATTAAATTGATAAATAAGCAACTTGACACGTTAAGTTCTTTTCCGTATTATAAAAGGAAGATACCTTCTTTTTATTCATTCAAGTGAGAGAATTAAAAAGCTCACGAAACTTCAACTTCAACTTCCAAATTCATTCCCTTTCATATTAATAAAATTAGATATTTGAAGAGCTGAAAACTGGGAAAATAGCAATTGTGGGCTTTTCATTTTCCTATTTTGGGTAAGTTTGCTTCCTATAAATTTATTTTAATATTAATATTTATTTATTTCCCTTTCTTTTTTTAGATATACAGAGTACTATTTCTGGCAATTTAGTTAATTAACGGGTTTTGGTCTTTTTCTTCTATTTACTGTATTTGTTCAGTTTCATCAGAACTTTTTTGGCTCTTTTAAGTTTTTATAGTACAAACACTACAAAGTACTTCGTACATTCTGACTAAAATGCCTAAAAGGCTAAAAGTGCTAACTAGTCTTGTCATGATACTCTCGAATCAAATAATATGAGCTAGAGAAAGGGTATATATTCAAAAGTTTTTCTATAGAACGGTTGCATTATTTTTACTTTGTTATCGTATTTGGATAAATCAATATAGACTAGAAGGTCGAATGTTCATAATTTGGATGTGAAATAGGAAAGACAAGGCTGTAAAAGAAATTGAGGATCTATTTTCCTTCGATTTCGAAAAAATTTGGAAAGAAAATGCATCCCTAAGTAACTTATAAGGGTGCCTACTTACTATATTTTCAAATTGTACTGATTGGTTAAGGAAGGGGAGTTGGTAGAAATGAATTTTTTTTTTTCAAAAAGTTTTGATTGATTCAATCATGGAAAGCCGACATTAGTTTTTGGGGTCAATTTAAAATTTAGTTGCTTTATTGTTAATAACATGCACTTTAACTTCCATAATTAATCTATATTAATTCACAAGTAGCACAACTTTCTCACAACTCCCTGAATTTGGGGTTGGGAAATGGTTTGACCAAAAAGTAATTAGAAATAGGAAGAAAATGGATATTTTTGAAAAATTTGTTTTATTTTGCATGAACTTGTCATACTCTTTCCTACCAATAAAAATAAAAATAAAAAGAATAAAAACTTGTCATATTCTAATTATATCTACTTATGATCAGTTTAAATTACTTTTAGTTTTACCCTGCAATTGTTAAAAACAAATTCAATGATGCACAAAGTTGTGTTATTTTATCACAATTCTTGAGGATGAATGCCCAAGAAATAGGAATTAAAATATATTGAACTTTATCAGTGAGTTTGGACGAGGATATTTTGGAGGCCAGGTAGAGTAGGAAACTAGAAAGGCCAGAATAAATATTGATTGTTTATAAGTGAAATAAATCGGGATTAGTTAAAGTCTAGTAGGCTCTGGGCTAGATTAATGACTATACTTGCATGCGTGATTTGATTTCCCTTCCCTTCTCATAAATCAAATCTTTGCAATATCGGAAATATTTGGAAGGAAATTGCAAGTCCAGTCTGTCCCTCCCCTGTATATTATTTCTCTTCTCCTCACCTCAGCTCCCTTCACTTTGTCTTCCCCTCACACTGTTGTTGCTAACCAAATACATTGTAAAGGTGCAACTTTCTCGCAACCCCGGCCTCAAAATGCATTTTTCATAAATTTTTATTGGTTAAATCATACGAAACTTTAGTCTTTTTATCAGTTTTAATCCTTTATATGTCAATTTGACATGTTAATTTTATACAATAATCCTGCTAAAATAGTCATTTGAAGTTTGTGCTAAAAATGAACTGTGTGACAATTCTTATGGGATAAATGGAGTAGTAGTGTATACAAAGAGTGTAGGAAGTTCTACTGTTAATTAATTTGTTCTCTCTCAATTATGAGGGTGCATACCTTTCTAGTATAAGTTTTTTTAATCTTTTGATGTTGAAATATTGTAGGGTGACAGAGTGGTGGTTTTCAATCTTTTCACATTGAATTGGTTTAAATTCGTGAGATGGACCGCGAAAATGGAGTTGAGAAGGCAACAACTTCCAACTCCGGTGCTACGGAACAGAATCAGAAAGAGACTAAAAAACAAGATGCTACTATGAATAAAGTCCCATTCTACAAGCTCTTTTCTTTTGCGGATTCTACTGATAAGGCTCTGATGATCATTGGCTCCATTAGTGCAATCGGAAATGGTGCGTGTATGCCCTTGATGACCATAGTTTTTGGTGACATAGTTGATGCTTTCGGAGAGAATCAAGATCCTAATCACATTATTGATGTTGTCTCTAAGGTATATCATCCATTTGTATCTATGGTATCAATTTTGCAATTTTATTAGTACGTACTTAAAGATATATATGATGATCAATTCGATTATTTGATATGATGTTTATATACTGTACTAAAATATATACAAAATCTTCCAACCATATGCTCAGCTTCTATGTTATCTTGATACAGGTGTGTTTGAAATTTGTCTACTTGGCCATCGGAGTAGCAATAGCTGCATTTCTTCGTAAGTTTGTTGAACTTGATAACTTTAGTTATAATGGGCTTGTGCAAGAAAGTTATTCGTCTAAAGTGTTAGAAACGGCCATGTTATAATCTAAACTCTATAAAGTATTTTCAAAAATACCTTGATCATGAACTTAAATAATTATTGGCTAATGAACAACTTTTTTTTTTTTTTGCTGTTACAGAGGTGGCTTGCTGGATGGTCACAGGAGAAAGACAGGCTGCAAGAATTAGAAACTTGTACTTAAAAACTATTCTTAGACAAGATGTCGCGTTTTTTGACAATGAAACAACCACAGGTGAGGTTGTTGGAAGGATGTCCGGAGACACTGTCCTTATACAAGACGCTATAGGGGAGAAGGTAACTCTCTTACACTTAAAATCTTAACCTATGTTAGTTGTTCTCATCATTGTTTACCTCATCATAATACTTATACTAGTCTCGCTCTCTTCCTTGGTAGGTTGGCAAGTTTCTACAAATGATATCAACATTCATCACAGGTTTTATCATTGCATTTATCAAAGGCTGGCTTCTTACTCTTGTCATGTTGTCCTCGATACCCCTTCTTGCCATTGCCGGTGCAATCATGACCATTACTATATCAAAGATGGCAACGAGAGGCCAAACTGCTTATGCGAAGGCAGCAATTGTTGTAGAACAGACTATAGGTTCAATCAGAACTGTAAGTTCATTCAACTCCCCACAATATGTTACATATTTAGTATTAGTGCTTGATTTCCTTACTTCTTTACACCATGTATCTCTCATTTCAGGTGGCATCATTTACAGGTGAGAAACAAGCTATTGCAGATTATAAGAAGGCTATTGCAAGCGCGTATAAATCAGGTGTCCTTGAAGGAGTGGCTTCAGGAACGGGTTTGGGGGCCTTAACGTTGGTTATCTTCAGTAGTTATGCTTTAGCCATATGGTTTGGCTCGAGGATGATTGTTGAAAAAAATTACACAGGGGGTACCGTCCTTATTGTTCTTATTTCTGTCGTGGTTGGATCCATGTGAGTCCATTCTTTCCATCTTACTGAACTTTTAAAAACTCAATTCATATATATTGAATCGAAAATTATTTGTACTTAATCTGAATCATACAAGTAATCTTTTCAAGGATAGTGCTGAAGTTTGTTCTGTTTTATAGGTCCTTGGGGCAAGCATCTCCCTCTATGAGCGCGTTTGCTGCAGGACAAGCAGCAGCATATAAGATGTTTGAGACCATAAATAGAAAATCAGAAATCGATCCTTACGACCCCAATGGAAAAACAATGAATGAAATTCGCGGAGAAATTGAGTTAAAAGATGTTCATTTTAGTTACCCCAGCAGACCTGATGAACCAATTTTTAGCGGATTTTGTCTTTCCATTTCAAGTGGCTCAACTGTTGCATTGGTTGGACAAAGTGGGAGTGGAAAATCGACAGTAATTAGTCTCCTAGAGCGGTTTTATGATCCGCAGGCTGGAGAGGTTTTAATTGATGGTATCAATCTTAAAGAATTTCAGCTAAGATGGATCAGACAAAAAATCGGCCTAGTAAGTCAAGAGCCTGTATTATTTGCATCTTCAATCAAAGATAATATCGCGTATGGGAAGGATGGTGCTACCATTGAAGAAATAAAGGTCGCAACAGAGTTGGCTAATGCTGCTAAGTTCATTGATAAATTGCCTCAGGTATGGTTCAAGCTACTACTACATCTTTACTCTAATTGTTCTAGAAGCTAAGTTAAAATATATAAAGTATTAAGCTTTGGTTTGTGTTGTTTATCTTTTCAGGGGCTAGATACCTTAGTCGGCGAGCATGGAGCACAACTATCAGGAGGACAAAAGCAAAGAGTGGCTATAGCAAGGGCCATTCTAAAAGATCCGCGAATTTTACTTCTAGATGAAGCTACAAGTGCACTTGATGCCGAATCTGAGAAGATTGTGCAAGAAGCATTAGACAGGATAATGGTAAACAGGACAACTGTTGTTGTTGCTCATCGCTTGAGTACAGTTAGGAACGCCGATATGATAGCAGTTATTCATCAAGGAAAGGTGGTAGAGAAAGGTAATATTGTAATCTAATGTCACCCTTTTACAAATCATGAATGACCTGGTTATAAAATTGTGATTGTTTGAATAAAGATGGTAAACTGATAATTTTTTTGCTGCTACGAATTAGGTCCACACGCGGAACTATTGAATGATCCCGAGGGAGCATATTCACAACTTATACGACTACAGGAAATCAGAAAGGAGTCTGAACAAGTTGAGAATATTGGAGATCATTCAATACACTCTAGTCAGAGAAAACTGTCCTTAAGATCATTAAGTCACGAATCCTCTAGGAGAGTGAGTAGTAGTCGCCGTCACTCTTTTTCTGTAGAAGGTACTACTACTACATTGTCTGCTCCGGAACAACAGCAAGAAGTCTCAATTTGGCGCATTGCTTCTTTGAACAAGCCCGAGACTCCATCACTTCTTCTCGGAGCTATCTCTGCATGTGCGAATGGCCTTATTTTTCCACTAGTCAGTATAATCCTTTCTAGTGCAATCAAAATGTTTTATGAGCCTCCTAACAAGCTGAAAAAGGATTCCAAGTTTTGGTCCCTTATGTTTCTACTCCTTGGTATAGCATCACTAATTACTCAACCTCTTCAATTCTTCTTCTTTGGTGTGGCTGGTCAAAGGCTAATACAACGTATTAGGTCCATGTGTTTCGAGAAAGCAGTCCACATGGAAGTTGGTTGGTTCGATGAGCCTAATCATTCAAGTGGTGCAATTGGTGCAAGGTTGTCTGCTGATGCAGCCATTGTGCGTGCTTTAGTAGGAGATACACTAGCATTGACTGTTCAGAATATTGCAACAGCTGTTGCTGGTTTATTGATTGCTTTCACTGCAAACTGGATACTGGCATTCATTATTCTAGCCTTAATACCCTTTATAGGCCTTAATGGATATGTCCAAGTCAAGTTTTTGAAGGGATTCAGCGCAGATGCTAAGGTTCGCTTTACTTTAACTCGCTCTGATCCCTGCATATATATATGTGCATGCCATAACAACTACATATCATTACAAAATAATCCTTATGATACATCTTAGAATCACCTGAAAATGGAAACTAAAGTGATACAAGTATAATATATGTGCAATATATGTTGGAAAATAAAAGCTCTAACATTTTCCTAAACTATGTAACATGACAAGTGTACATTAAGCCAAAATTGAGAGTAATTGACTTGAATCCCCTACTTAAAAAAACTTCTTTGAACTTTTGCAGAAAAAGTATGAAGAGGCGAGTCAAGTTGCTAATGACGCGGTTGCTAGTATAAGAACCGTTGCTTCTTTTTGTGCCGAGGAGAAGGTAATGCAACTATACGAAAAGAAATGTGAAGCCCCAATAGAAGCAGGTGTGAAGCAAGGAGTGGTTAGTGGGGTGGGTTTCGGGCTATCTTTTGCTTTGCTTTTTTTTGTCTACGCCGGAAGTTTCTATGCCGGAGCTCAACTTGTTGCCCATAAGAAAACAACATTTTCTGAGGTTTTCAAGGTATATGAGTATTGCATTTGCTTCAAAACCTTCCAAATTATAATTTTTTTTTCCTATTTTTCCTATGCTTAAAATGTATGTTCTTCTATAGGTATTTTTCGCGTTAGCTTTCTCTGCAATAGGAATATCACAATCAAGCTCCTTTGCAACTGATAGCAGTAAAGCCAAGGATGCAGCTGCATCCGTATTTGCAATCCTTGATCGTAAATCTAAGATTGACTCAAGCGACGAATCTGGGATGACCTTGGATAATGTTAAGGGTGAACTTGCACTGCAACACGTGAGCTTTTTGTATCCTAGTAGGCCTGATATTCAGATTTTCCAAGACTTGTCCTTGACTATTCACTCTGGCCAGGTAATCTCTAAACTCGAACATGCTCTTACGTATCCCTTGTTAATTTAATTTGCTGTTGTCTTGCTAACAAATACTCGTGTATGGTCTAAAGTGATTTAAAGTATTTTATCTTTATCTTCGCTTATCAGACTGTTGCTCTTGTGGGAGAAAGTGGATGCGGAAAATCAACTGTCATATCCCTCTTACAGAGATTTTATGATCCAATTTCGGGTTGTATCACACTTGATGGGATTGAACTTAAGAAGTTTCAACTGAAATGGTTGAGACAACAAATGGGGCTCGTTAGCCAAGAGCCTGTTCTTTTCAATGATACTATACGTGCCAACATCGCGTATGGAAAGGGTGGCAATGCCAGTGAGGCCGAAATCATAAATGCTGCAGAGCTCGCAAATGCTCACAAGTTCATAAGTAGCTTACAAAATGTATGTACACCTACATAATAGTAGTGCTTTATAAGAGTAATGCATAATTAAATTTCTTTAGTATATTCTTATGCATTGGTATTTAACGAATTGTATGAAATATTGCACGTAGGGCTATGATACGATCGTAGGAGAACGAGGAGTTCAACTGTCAGGAGGACAAAAGCAGAGAGTTGCCATAGCCAGAGCCATAGTAAAGAATCCAAGAATATTACTATTGGATGAAGCTACAAGTGCACTTGATGCTGAATCTGAAAGAGTTGTGCAAGATGCACTAGATCAAGTTATGGTGGATCGTACGACAGTAGTTGTTGCTCATCGCTTATCCACCATAAAAAACGCCGATGTGATTGCAGTGGTAAAGAAAGGGGTCATTGCAGAGAAAGGGAAGCACGAAACACTACTTCGTATCAATGATGGTGTTTATGCTTCTTTGGTTGCACTTCACATGAGTTCTTCCTCCTAACCACACCACAAATTTTGTCTCTATTTTGCAAGTTTTTAGCTATTCTTACTTCACAAAAACCTTATAGCATTCCTCATCATGAACTCGATCTCATAGGTGGAATGTTGGAAGATTTAGGATTTTTTTTAATATCTTTATAACACTCAATTCTTTTTGTCCATAATTTTGAGAGTACTGTTATTTATTTCCTTGTAACACAAAATTCTTTTTACGAAAATCGATTAGTACTTGGTTTATTTACAATTTCAGTAAAAAAAAAAAAAATGAACTCAGAACTGTACAATTCCACTACTCGATTTTTGATGCAGGGATTTTCTTAAGTATATACTTGTACTTCGCATCACATTCACTGAGTAATCTTGCAGACATCAACACTACGGGTGTGTTGAGTTCTAATGCTCTTTTTGTCCACTAGAATGAAATGGACTATAAATCATTAGAAGAATACAACTAAAAGTTACAACAATATAATGTATGGTATGCAGCTTACATTGCATGGTTCCTAGGTCGGATGACCTATTTCAAAATTAAACCAAGCGAGTTTGTACGTAGATCCATTAAGCCAATTTTAATAAATTTTTAGTGTCTCTATACCCCAACTCCGCGGGAATTGAACACCTAACCTCAGTTTTACAATTGCCACATAGTGTACTATCTCACTAATAGATCTCAGGCACACAGCAATATGGCGATGGCGCACAAAGTAAACGATACGTTGTGACTGTTTAAGGCAAGTAGTGCCATATGTTGTACTGTTGCTTTACTAACAGTTTGATGACATTGACAACCTATGATGTATTGTGTGATTCATTTGTCAATTAAAGAGTTCACAGGTGCAAGTTTATGCCTTTTAAAGTTTGACTACTACTTGCGGCTATTGCGATGAGTCCTTTCTATGCCTTTGGAAGATTATTGGGGACAAAGCAAAATGTGTAATTTCAACTAATTGATCGAGGTATTGGCCCAATGATTAAGATTGAGGGCTTGTATACAAATAGGCCACAGGTTCAAATTCCCCACCACCATTTAGAATAAAGAGAGTATTATTTTGAAACAAATGTGATACATAAAAAGTCTACCGGCCCAAATATAAATACGAATATTAAACTATCCTCCCTTCTTTTCAGTTCAAGCTTATACCATAAATTCTTTATTTTTATGGAAATAAATAGCATGTTACTTGTCAGCACTCTATGTAGTACAGACAACAAGGCTTATATTTTTATCAATTAGAGGGAAGCAATTCAATGAGAGAGACATCAAATGTACAAAGCAGAAGATTTTGTTTATGCCTTGCAATTTGGATGATAAAAAAATTGTACTTAGATGACACGTATGTGTAATTTATAGTAATTGTATATAGTGGCGCATGTAATGAACAGATGCGTAAATTACGATTTTATATAGTGGCGCATGTAATGAACGCTTACTGACATTATACCAACAGGCAACAACACAAAAACTTGATCTTCATACTTCCAAATGCACGGTTCTATACATTAACCGTTATCTATGGTAAAAATCATAAACCTGTAAAGGCTGTAATCCTGTGTAATTATTATCGACACCAATCAACAGTATATATTCATATTAATCATATCAAATTCGAAAGGACCCCATTAAAATTCCTCTTACATTAAATAAATTATTCTACTATAATGACTAAAGTTCTTTTCTAATAACACCTGCATACATAAAAGCAACTCTTCTAATAATGACTAATTTATGTTAATACTACTAACATATGCTTTGTATATTTAATCTTTTAATAACTTATTTGGGACCTTCATAGGAGATATGATTTGCCTGTTGTTGTTAATCAACCCCATTCTTTCCGGTTTCGAGCTCGGTCGTCGCCTAATCAGAAGGCGAACGATGGTTGTTTACTTGATGAGGATGGTAGATTATGACATTAGAAGTAACATCAAAATCCCTCTTAAAATGACTCCAAAGTGAATTTTTCTCAGATGCATTTGCCATTTTTTGATCTATTATTCCATTTATAGCTTCTGGTATTGGTTGATCTTTCATTACTTTTTTCCAATAATCTTCAGGACTATTTCTTGCACCAATTTCATTAGAAAACTGCAAACAAACAAAAAACAATCAGAAGATTTACAAGTGCTCATATCGTGAAAAGAAAGGCATCATTGATAATAAGTCATGCGACATCTACAATAAGGAAATAGATCGGCGATAGCTAGGGAGCTTACCAAGAGTAGCATGAAGAAGGAGAGGAAGAGAACACAAGCAAACTTCATGGTAAAGATAGCCAAATGAAAAAAAAGGTATGGTTTGTGAGTTAGTCTACTTGGTTATGAACAGAAGAATATAGGGTTAGATCACTAATATTTATTTTATAAGCTAAGGTAATTATAACGGTCCAACAATATATGTTTAATTTATATAGTAGTAAAATATAGAGAATAGTAGTAGGTACTACTGTATAAGATAAAGTCAATTATAATCCTCAAAAGAGCATTAGAAGAAAGTCAAAAGGCAATGATTCCTTTTGGTGTGGAACTGTGTGGATTTTGTGATAACCTATTTTACGGTGTACATAGATCTAATAAAATTATTTAAGTGGGCATATAATTATTGAGGATTGAAAAATTTAGCTGTGTTAATTACTATGAGAACAACTTAAAAAGTAAATTTTTAGAATTGATTAAGATAGTTTGATGATACTAAGCATATGCAATAGCATATCTCTTAGCTCGATTGTTTACTACTCCCTTCTCTAAAAAAATTCATTTTTGACATATTATTTTATAGAAAATCACCGACAAAATATGAAAACCTTAGAGGCGAAGGAAGTAACTTTTTCTGAATTAATTTTCATGTAGAAATTTTGTTCTTATCATTTCTTAACTTTCCTTTTTCATTTTTACTAAAAGCTTTTTTTTTTTTTTTTTTTTAAAAAAAAAAAAAAAGAGCTAATAATATATTAATTAAGGAATTGATTTGAGATTACATAGATAAGGAGAAATCTCCGGAGAATAATGATCGTACTTGATGCACTCTGAAATGCACTAGTTTAACTAGGTGATGTGCACTTGTACAGCATAATTGATTTTGGCTAAAAGCCGCCTAGAAGTTCTCAATTCATTAATTGTTATGAAATTGATTGACCTTACCTTAATTTTCTCTTACTTTTTCTATTTTTTTTTTATTTGCTAAATAACGCTTCTAGAGATTATATGTGGGTTTGTCAGTAAAAGTGGACTTTGTTAGACAATAAAGATTAAAGTGTACGAAGTATTTATTTACCCTTAATTGAAGTTGATAGAGAGAAAAAAGGCAGTGCGAACCTAAAACTATGGGCAGGGGCGGAGCTAGAAGGGGACGAGTGGGGACACTTGTCCCCCCATTTTCAAAAAAAAAAAATAAAAAAAAAAATTTAAAAAAAAAAAACAAAAAAACGCAATTACAGAGTGCTCTGTGCGATATTTGCAGCCAAACCCTAAGTCTTTCAATTTTTAATTTCTCTCTCTTCGATTCGCCCTCACCTCGCCAGAGTCGCCTGACGCTGTCCACCGTTCTCCGGCAGTTCGCAGCAGTGAGGCCAATGACGAGGTTCGACAGACGACAGCGCACAGCGGACAGCCTTCAATTCCGTTCGACAGTCACCAAAATTAAAAAACCAAAGTCCTGTCTGTCGCTCGGTCGCTGCCTGCCAAACCCCTCATCGTCGTCGGTCGTCCGTCAGTCGCCAGTCGCCGCCTCGGTCATCTTCTGGTCTTCGCTGCATCTAAAGGTATGTCTTAACTCTTAAATATATTAATTTGTTCTTCTAATTGAAAATTTGAAATCCCCAATTTGCAATTTTAATTGTTAACCCAATAACCCTTTCTTTCTCCCCATACTTTACTTATTTTCTGAGGCTATATATTCTGAAAAGGGTATCGGAATTTGTGTCAAATATTGAAGGGGATTTGTTTTGGTCTTTAAATGGGGTTGGTGCTCCTGATTTGATCTTTATTTATGTGCCTGAAGGGTGCCGAGTTGATGCCCCTTTAAATTTGAGGTCTTTCTCACTGAAAGGGAGTGATGCCGAGTCGAATATGTTGCCGGTTTCGAACCCGAGAGTATTGGTGTTGATAGAAGGGAGGAGAGGTGGGTATAGTTGAGGTGTTTTTAGGTGGAGATGGTAACAAGTGTTATTGGACTAATTATGTTCTTGAGGTGATCATCGGTGAAGGAGCAACATTTAGCCATTTTTATGTACAAACACAATCTTTGGGAGCTGCCCATATTAAATGGACTTCCATTAGGCAAGTATATTTGGTTCTGCTTTTATTATGTTTTTGTTGATTAAGTGTCATTATGTGCAACACTTTAGATTTTGTGATATCCTTTGCTTATAATCCTGTTAGTGCATTATCATGTGATTGCTTATACTTCTATTCTTGTTGGTGCTTTGGTATATCAGGATTAAATACATTATAATGCAACTGTCTTCGCTTTTATATTATATCCATAATTTGTCCCCCCAATTTGAAAATCCTGGCTCCGCCAGTGACTATGGGTTGTCTTGAATGGAAGCATAAGGAGTATACCTCCATATACTGAATTAATTAGGATTACATATTAATATCAATCATACCTAGTAGCTAGACCATTTGAAAGTGTGTATATTTGACTATTACATCTCTTAAAGCATTATATCATAAAGACATGGAAACACAAGGATTCAAAACTTGAAACATACTTAACATATGCTAAATTGACTATTAATATTATTATGTAGATGCTAAGCATTATAAGTGTAGATAGATGTCAATTATAATTAAAGTGTGTGAATAGACTGGAAGTCAAAGTGTTGACAATACTTAAAAACGAAAGAAGTATGTGAAAGTGTATACCGAGAGGGCGTGGTGGGAATTTGATTGGCCAAGTATGTAGTCTTGATTCAACTCCTTTGGCTTTAAAGACGCTTGCACTGTTAACAAGTCAAAAAAGAATAGACACCAACTCAACTAGTAGCAGCGTAGCACCGCAAACATTGACTTCTTTTGTACATCACATGCATGCTTAACTCCAGGTCATAAACAAACAAAGATAGAAGACTTACCTTTTTCTAAAATGGGAAAGGCATCAAATTATAGATTTGTTAACGTTAATAAAATTATCAATTGGCAAGAAAATATCTATTTTATTCCGGATATTATTTCTACAGAATAACTTTAATGAGGTAAGGTTAGAATGCGAACGAGGAGGCCACGGTCGTTTGTTCATATAGAATAGTTATTTGAAGTGTGTTACATTGGAACCAACCATTGGCACCCAACATCCCAACCTCACCCTTTCGATTACTTGATTATATGTCACATTTAACCACAACTCGAGATTGAATTGAGATAGCATAATTAATTCTGCTTACTTTACTATATTATTTCGTTATTGAAAATTAAACTTAATTACATTATATTAAGCTAAATTAAACTGAATTTAAATGAAATTATAAAAATAAGGTCAAAAGAACATAACTTTAAACTTTAAACGTAGCATGATACATGACACTCCGTAACAATGTAACCTAACCATCATGAAATATAATTACAAGCTATATTTTTCTTAATTGAAAACTACCCTTTCCTTAAATTAAAGAGATAAGGAGTACAAGCACTCATATTTAAATGTTTTGTAGGGTGACAAACTGAAAGTTCATAAACCACTATTGTTTGCAATCATACTAGTCGCAATCCATAAATTTTGTAGTGAGTGCAAATCAACCTAACAACTAACTAAGATTATGATTAGTTTTTGAACCAAATAATAAACATACATTGCCTACTTTTCTTTCACTTAATGTATCCTCCTTCAACATTTATCCATAATCAATTACTAAATTATATGCATCCTAAAATTTGCATTATGCCACATAAAAATGTCGGTTTTTCTAGGCTCATTTATGCCAACCTACCAACAGACTACAATAAATTTGAGCGTACATAAACAGTTTATTATAATACACTAAGGTGTCGTATAAGGCATTAATTTACCTCATAAATAATGGCAATGACGCACATATCTTCCATGTGTCGCCATATAACACATCTCTAGAGTATAATAGAGACAGTTATTACAGATTATGCTTTAGTATTGAATATTGATACGTTTCTGGTTTGTTGATTGTGTATTAGTTGAAGTTTTTGCTAGTTCGTTGACAAATGAAACGACTATTGTAGATAAAGCAATAAAATAGTAGCACTTAGTATGGCTCTAATTTCATGGGATAATGGGATATATTATACGAAGTAATACATACTCCAAAAATTATAGTGATTAGGTACAAATAACGGCTTAATTTGTCTATTTGTCCTCCTCCAAATAGGATTATTAAGCAGTATTATTAGGGTCACAATCAAGTTAAATTGACCAATTTTTAGTGATGTAGACATTTTTCTTAAGTCAAAACGCATTATAATATAATTATGTAGCATATATGTGCATTTTTTTATATATATTTTTGATCTGCATGAACTATAACGACACTACAAATTATAAATAGAGAGTTAAGATTTGAACATGCTATGAGCTGATGTTGTACATGTATATATACAAGTCTTTAGTGTTTGCTACTAGGTTAAGACTTCATTGATGCACTCTTTAGATTAATTAATGGGGAGAATGTACAATCTTTTTAATTAGGCTTATTATGAATGTTAATTGATAACATTATTGTAAGTTTACTGTAGTTGCGTAGCATATTAGGACAAAAAGATTACTAATTAGCCATCATGAAGGTAAGGTCAAAAGTTGTTTACGTATGTATTTGATTTATCAAGCTAAAATTAACACCAATCAAGTTAATATAATATGAAATATGTTAATTGTTATGTGCTATTCATTTTGTCATGATTAAAACTCAAGATTTCTTTACAAAAGTAAATGGCTATGTGGAGGCAAAATATTCCGGCTTAAATAATCAACTAGTATTTAGCTAGTGCGATACACGGAATTATCTTTTTATCTAAATAAATGTATTTAGGATTTTTTTAATCAAAAACCTTTTTTAAAAAAAATAATCAAAAACATTTGTAAATACAAATTGCACTTTTTTAGTAAATTAAAATGTAATACTACGTACGTAAACGCAATGCAATATATTCTTAACGGGGAAAAAAATACATCATATCATATGTAACACTAAGTTATACAAATTGCATTAAGCAAAAAAAAACTAACTCTGACATGCAACAAATAAAATTTAGTTTTGCCTATTTATTTCAAATTTTAGCAAAAATAATATTAAAAAACACACAAAGGGTTTTTATACTCCATACAAATAATTTAATTTATCACAATATTTATAATTGAGATTAAAATTGTAAAATTGCAAATTGAAAAAAAGAGGGAGTTAAACATAGAGAAAACAAACCT